AACACCTGGTTATTTTTTTCTCACAAACAGCAGGTAGATCAGATGATGTTGCATGGGCAAAACAAAACAAAGATATCGATGTATACCGCGAACAAATAAAATAATAAAAAAAAACATTTCCGTAGCTAATATGCACTAAAAAATTAAATTTTATTCAGAACTTAAAATATTTGTGCGGTACATATGCATGGTTGCAAAAATTCCCCGATATTTTTTAACGATTTTCAAGCATAAAGGGGTGGTTCTCTTCGCTTGAAGTAGTGCATCATGGCGAGAAATCAACTTTCGACACTATTGGTATGGTCAAAGCCGCAACTCACGGCAAATGTTATGTATGCTTTCTACTCTACAAGGGTGTCCCAAGCGGACCTTCCGCCGGAAAACGCACCGGCAAAAATACGCGACTCCACATAAAAATCTAAAGTTTTCACCGAATATGCACTGAACCAGTAAGTTCCACCGTGTGAAATATTAAGGCCTACTTCTATTCCTGTAAAAAGAAATGACGAACTTGCCGAAGTTAACATTGGACGCGCTCTTAGGCAGCCTGGTTGGCAACGCTATTGACTTGTGACGCCATCTCCCGATAGGCGCTGCGGGCAGACAACAGAGTGCGTTGTCTGCTTGCTGCTCCTACCGGGAGATGGCGCCACAAGTAAATATCGTCGCAAACTGGGTCGTCTGCAAACACGGCCAACCTTGATTTTGGCAAGTTTTCTTTGCCCTCATTTTTTTACGTAAAGAGAGCTCCACTTTGAAACTTCACGAGGAAAAAAAAATTACATGTGCAGTACACATTCTGTGACAGTTTGAACTTTCTATGAGCAGGCGCCTGTTTTTCCGGCTCGGTTTACTGCGGAAGGTCTGCTTGGGAGACACACCACGGATGCACCGAAGGACACACACCCATCTAAAACCTCTACTTTTCTGTAAAGCCCTCGGGGGATGCTATCGCCGCAATCTAAGGAGCGAGAAGGGTGAATGACGAAGCTCAAGATATAAGGAAAAATAAAAAATATTATCTGCTGTGACACTCAGCATGATGTCTCACCCTGCTCAATTCAAAGCCCAGAATGCCTTTCTTTTTTTTTTTAGATAATAACGTATGTCCAGTTTCACGTCTCACCGAGCTTCTGTCGATGTTTCAGAACTAACCTTTAGCTTATTTAAAGGGAGTGATTTTCGCAAACTTTCAATTGGAAGACTCTCGGTAGTTGGCTCCGTTTAAACCAAAGAAGCTCATGTATTCCTGGGCTTTTTCGGCCACTGTTTTCCCGTTGAACATTTCCAAAAATCGCTTCTAACTCTTGTAGGCATGTTCGAATAGTGGATTTTGAGTCCCGAAAGACGTCGAAGCGAACAGTGATTTTGGCCGAATGTTTTCGAATCGAATATCGAGGAGTTTCCCCGAGTCTTACACTACCGTACACCGTGCTGAAACGAAAATTCAGCCGAACTCGTGAAGGTTGTTTCCAACCTTGCACTTCTCCGCTATAAGCGCACTCTACGGTATCAACCCGCCGCGATCAACACTTTAGAAAGTACGAATATCGCAGTTCACTTCGAACCAGATGTCGAATAGCAAAAAGTCGAAAATACTATACAAAAGTTCGAATATTCACACAACACTAACCTTTTAAATAAGATGGCGGTTCGTTCTGAAATGTTGCCATCTGGTTCGGAGCACAAGCGCTAAATTTGGGCTGAAGCTGAGCGCTTGACGATGCGTTTAGCTTTTCTTTTTTTTTTAATTAAAAAAGCAGTCTTGTTTTTCTTTTTTGTAAACACTTCTTTGTCTCTTTTTTTGCGCATTGGGAATTTATATGGCTGTTTGAACAGTGCCGACTCCGCGGATGCGCTGTACCTCGCAAGGAAAATGAGTCGCGACAGTGGATGCCCGGGCTGAAGTGCGCGCTCCCAGTGCCACCGGCGGTCGTTAATTAGGCTTAGATGGACCCCATTTCGACGCCGGGGACTTCGAGTGGCATACTTCGTGGAGCGACGTCGAATTCCGCCGAGTCGACGGCTCGGTTAGTTTCGTGGGGGATCACGGGTCGCTTGGGAAGGGATCGGCGTTGCATGATTGATGACGACGTTGCAGTAGAATCGCTCGCAGCGTCGGTATTTTCCGGTTAGGGTTAGGAGGCCGTCAGCCCCTCAGAAATAAGGTAGGGATCGCATGTAGCCTAAAACCTTGTTATCCCGCCCTTCTAAAGACGAGAAAACCGTCGAAAAAAAAAATGAATACAGTGTTCTAGGGAAACTATATTGCATAATAGTCACCGATGCAAATTCTGTTTTGTCCACAAGTTGGACGAGCCAAAAAGGGGATGATTTTCTGAAGGCAGACGATTGCCATTCGGCCGAGTGGTCTAGCGCACACAAGCTCGGAGCACGTGGAGCGAAAGCTCGCGCTGCAGAACCCAGGGATCCTGGGTTCGAGCCCCACCCCTGCCCGTTTCGATCTAGATGAGCATCGTACCGGCGTGCGGTCGTGTATCACTACTGCGTGATGCACGTTAAAGACCCCAGGCTAGCGGTTGTACCGCACTGGCTAAATTTCTCATCTACAGCTGGGAGACTTGTCGCCCCTGTGAAGCAGACCAAGTTCTAGGCTGTATAAACACACACACAACCCAATTTTTATAGACCTTTTGCTCATTTACCGAAGCACCCAGGAGCATGCTGCGGTGTAGTTACACGCGCTGCACGTGCTAGCGTCTGCAGTAGTAACTGTTGTAAAGCAAAATCCTCGAACAAATGACATCTTTCACCAGCGTTCGTCAGCGTTTTATTTTGGTTATTTACTTCCAGTACTTTATATGGGGAAGGCGAGCGCGTGCCGCGCGTAGAATTACTTTTTCAGCATTCTCCTTGATGCTTGGGCTTCTTGAGCAGTAGGAATATAGCGCCTCCGAGGCTCAATAAGGATATGTAGTCTAAAACTTTATTACCTCATCTTTCTAGCGAAGCGTACACCTCTGACAAACTCCAGACTCGGATCTGGGAAAACATTATACACAAGGTACACAGACGGCAAATAGTGCTATATCTTTTGAAAGCAGACGATTGCAAGACTGTTGTGCCCCCTACGTCCAAGTAAGACATGTATGTCTAAAGCCATGTCATCTCCTCTTCCAGGAGTGTATAAACCTTTAATAAGTCAAGATTAAGTTCTTAAAAATATGTCTTCCAGTGGCAGGAGGTAATACCAGATTCAAATGATGAGATCTGATATATACTTGTGATTTTGCAGTTGCAACGTCTCTACCTGTTTTTAGATATAAGATGAAAATTGTGGAAGCTACGATATATAAGATGAACATTGTGGAAGCTACGGACGTGCTCGACGTTTCAACTACAAAATCGCAAATAGCATCGCAGCACAACGCGGCGAGCCGAGATATGGCGCTAGGTTTTCTGAAAGCAGACTACTGACCGGTAGAAATGGACGCTGTCAGAATCAACCTTCAGGTTTTGTTACCTCTTATTCCGTTTACTTCACTTCATCATTACCATAGCAGGCCAGGTCATTGCCATTTTAGATTCTACGGTGTCCTTCTCCCCAGCACTGACCTTTGTAAAGGATTGTCAACGACCGTTTCAGTGGCTCGGTATTTCGGTAAAATAAGAGAAAGTCAGAAACGGCGGTTGTGGTCTGGCGCGAGTGTTAAGAGTTTATACTCAATCTCACAGATGTCTGCAGTAAAGGCGAAGGCATAGGCCCGTGAGCCTAGCTCAGAAGTCTTTGCCTTTGTTTGCACAAGGACTCGCACTTTCAAAAGCCACGCACTTTCGAAAGCCTTTATCTTCACCGCAGATGTTAGTGGGATGAAGTAGAGCTCTTTCTCCAGAGAACTAAGCCTTTAAAAAAATTACAGACAAAGCTTCTTTTTTTTTTTAACATAATTGCACAAGAGCAGAACGTAGCTATACTTATCTTCATATGAAGTCCTGACGCAGCCGACGTTACTAGCTGATAAGACCAATCAGACGGCGTTGAAAGAGCACTAACATGATTTTCGTCGTGTTTCTGCACGTGTTCTATCATTACTGAACCAATCATTAACAGAAAAGGCCTTGTGATTTACGCTTTTGCCGCTGCTCTATTGGTCCCATTACCGAGCATGAAATGCTCGCGTCTCGCGGACGCTACCAGAGGCACCTCTTTTGTGGTCGCGTCTCGTGGACTCTACAGCGCCCCCTAGCCAAGAGAAACATGCCTATACGCCAGCGAGACGGCTGGGCGAGCCACGATTACGCAAGGTTTTGTTCTGAAAGCAAACAAATGGCCGATGAAATAGCAAATTCCGTCGGGGTGTTCCAGAGTCTCGCTATTCAACATTCATAATCCGTTTGATGTTTGTTTAAATAAATAAAAATTATTTAATTGATTTGGGCTAGGGCCCGTTCCGTTTCGTCTCCGAGATCCGTTGCGCCCCTTCTCTTGGAGAGTAGGCGGGTGGAAAGTAATTAATATATGGCTACCTTTCGCATGGCGTTTCCGAGAAAGGAGAGCCGTGTTTTTTGGCCCGGCTGAACAAACGACTCCCATTACATGGGAAAAAAAAACTAACGCATGTTTCATAGGTTATAAACGTCTGTGATTCATTCTAAGCAATACTCGCGCGAAATACAAAAATCGCACAGCGCCTTTCAGCTTCGCTCGACGATGTGTGCAAACTAAATTCAGGATATTTTTACTTTTACCTCAAAATCTGTTTTCGGTTCGCGCATCTGCGGACTAGGCATGTTCAGCTGGCGCCAAAGATTTCCTAGGTACAACTTGTTTTTGTTTTTTTTGGTAATCTGAAGACGTTTTTATGACAATTTTATGTGTGCTTCATTTTATTGCAACTTTATATCTACTTGCGTCTTATTCATTCGAAGCTTAGGTGACTCTCAAATTTGACGCTTGCATAATTGGAGAAATTACATTAAAGTTGTTGTTTTCCTTTCATTGACATCATTAAATCGTTGATTATTTCGTACACTTCCAGCTGAAAGCCTTCTACGTCGACCTGATCGTTCCCTTGGAGTCCAACATCGAAAAAGACGCCAAGGTCGTCGCTGTAAGTCGAGATAACTCAATATTTTAAAATAAATTTAAAAGAAAAAAAGTTTTCTGCGTATCTACTTTTCTGTCGAGCACGCAAACAGCGAATCAATGGTGCAAGTTTCTTCTTCAATATCCTCGCAAATGAAATGTACTAATACAGGCGAACCTTCCGCGGTAAAAGGAGCCAGAAAAATGGGCGCTTACAACAAAAAGCCTCAAACTTTCACCGAATGTGCACTGAGCAGGTCAGCTTTACCACGTGAAATGTCAAGGCCTGCTGATCCGTTCCCGCGAGAAAATTAGAGCAACAAACTTTCCAAACTCGGCGTTGAGCGCGTTCGCAGACGACCGAGTGTGCAGCGTTATTTACTTGTGGCGTTGTGGCGCCATCTTTCGATAGGCGCAGCGGGCAGACAACACAGCGCGTCGTCCACTCGCTGCGCCTGTCGGAAGATGGCGCCATAAGTAACTGGCGTCACTAACTTGGTCGTCTGCGAACGAGCCTGCAGCGTTGACTTTAAAAAGCGTGTTGCCCTCCTTTTTTTTTCTTTTTTTTTACAGGAAGAGAATTGCGCTTTGAAATTTGATACAGTAAGACTGACCCGCTCACTGCACATTGGGTGAAAGTCTGAGCTTGATATATGTGCCGGCGCCGATTCTTCCGGCTTGTTTTACAGCAGATGATCCGCTTGTTGTACGCTCTGCGATTCTTAATTTGTCAATGATTATAGTTTTGCGCATGCGCTGCCAACAATGACCAACAATACCCCCCCGTACAGAAACTTCATTGTTGTCGTTCGGTAGCCCTTTACACTCTTAATTACTTTTTTTCTCTCTCTCTTTTTTTACGTGGCAGAGTGAGCAGAAAAGGTTTCTGCAGCAGAACAAGACGCATCAGGAGGCTTACCTCAAGGTCGCATCCGTAATCAAGAAGCAGAGAAAGAAAAACAGATCTAGTCGGGGTGGTAACGTCGATAAGGAAATCAAGGTAAGTCACCCGTGATAACCCCTGTCTACGGGGAGAGTGTAACGACCAATCTGTCCTCTTTGCAAATCAGTCTCCACAACAGACCCTTTTTCGAAAGGGCACGCGCCACCTCGTGGTTGCTGCGCCAATTACACCAGCCCGCCATTGTTCGGGCACATACTCTGAGCATGTATTGGACACGAGGTACAGCCTCAGAGTTCGGGGTAAACTCAGTTATAATCAAACGCTTCGTGCCCGACAAATGGCGACGCCAATATTGTTCGATTGACTTTTAAAAAGGGTATATATTGCGTTATTTTTTTTTTCTATCTGTGTTATTCTTTTTTTGATTTTGATATGATTAACGAAATAAATGCTTGGTCGTTACGTCATAACTAGGCTCTTTCTTTAAGGTTTAATTATGTTTACCTATTTATGTTTATTGCGCGATATCCCTTTGCTGGGTGTGTGAGCGTCAATGCTTAACAAGACTCGTTCTAAGCGTTTACAACTTTGGTTTCTCTAAACACATGAATGCGATCTGACGAAGCGATATATGTATATAAAGAATCGCGGAGGCCACGGATCCGTGCGCGTTACTTTCCGGCAGTGCACCAGTACGCAGTGAGAAGCGCACTCAACGAACCGTAGCCTTCTAACTTTCCCCAAACAACGATCCATCATCACCGACAGTGCTTGACACGAAGGAGTGCGTTATTCGAATCGGTAACCGGGGAAGCTCCGAAAATCCGCGCAGGCCGACCGTAAAGATTCAACAGTGTAACAAAGCCTCGATGATTAGGTTTGGAAAGCAGTGTTGTGAAGGAGATTAGGTTTTGGCGCAACGTTGACGCAAATTCCTCGCATGCTGGCGAAACTCAAGGTGCACACTTTGACGCAGTGTGCGGCACGCCACGCAGGAATCACATGACTCTCCCCCTTCCCTTTCCGCAGCAAATGCAGGCACTCGAAGAAGAGAAGGGAAAACTGGATGGCTTTTGCGAAAGCAGCTTGAAACAGGTGAGCGTGCAACTGAGTTGAACAACGTTAAAATCTGGGTGAGCTTCAAATTATAATTCGCGAGTTCTGATAAGTTTCCTATAACGCTCACATATGCCTTTTTTAAATCTTTTTTGTATCCTTTAATATGCTGACCATTTTTTATCTTATTATTTTGCGGACAGACATTGCACTTTGTGCTCAATTATCACAACTTCTGGCCAAAACAGCTGGAAAACACAATGTAGCAACAACTATCGCAAAAAGATTTGTCTTGGTCATTTTGATAATCCCAGGGAGATATTGACAATCCCGGAGAGATGCAAAGGTTTAAGACCAAACCGTTATCCTAATCGAATGTTAAAAGTAATTTTCTGAAAATGGCACTGGGAAAATGAGGCCCGTCCTTGGTAACGGGCGCCTTTCAGCTCCATGTATTTAAAGGGATGCTGAACCGAAATTTCGATTCCTCAAAACACGCGGTAAAAGCGTGCAACGGGATGCTACGAACACCAAAACATCACTCATACAGAGATATCTCGAACGGATGACCAATTTTTCAAGAAAAGGAGGCGCATTTGACAGAGATGATGTCGTCATGTTTCTCCGAGAAAGAGAGGGAACGGCCCGCGTCTTCTCCGCCTCGCGGCCTTGAGGGAGCGAAGCGAAGAGAGGAGGAAACTCGGTATATTGACGTCACGCGCCTCGTCGGCCTGGTTCAATCTCGACATCTTTGTCCAAAAATACGGCCATCCATTCGAGATATCGCCTTAGGAGTAGTGGTGTAGGGATTGTAGCGTCCCGCCTACATTTCCTGCATTGTTTTTTTAAAATCCAAATTTCGGTTCACCATCCCTTTAAGGGCCCCGTCGGCTGCCATTCTCCCACTGAACATTTCAGAAAATAACTCGCCACGTTTACATGCGATCACGGCTTGTTCTGAAACTTTGGCGTCTGGTTCGAACAGCAAGAGCTACACTTTGGCGGAGAATGAGCGTTCGGCGAAGCGTCTTTTATTTCTTGAGGTAAAACGATAGATATCTGTACATTTCTGGGGGGACGCCCTGTACTTGGTTAGGGGAGCTTTGCGTGGCTTCGCACTCTCAGAAATAGGGGGTCTAATACTTACACCCCTCTCACCCCAGCGCTCGATCCTGCTGTTTCGCCGACATCGACGCCTGCGACGCTAGTCTTCTTCTATTTTGCTTTGGGCACGACTTCGTCCCATTAAACGTTCAGTTTGCTTCAGCCATTCGTCGCCTCATCAATTGTCATCTGTGACAATATAATCTACCAGGCACGTAGCCAAAGGGGGGGGGGGGGGGGGGGGCGCCATGCTTCCCCCCCCCCCCCCCGAAATCTTCCATTTTGCTGGGGCCTCCTCTCCCCCCCCCCCCCCCCCCCCCCGAAACAAAATCCTGGCTACGTGCCTGTAATGTACGCATTAAAGACTACAGAAAAACACTCAAGGTTTTGTTGCAAAACCTCGGATTATTTTTTGTTGTTCTTGTTTTTGATACGTAAATTAGCTATTTATTAAGTTATATCACACGGCTATCGAGCCGCTCGTAAAAGTTGTTATCGTCCATTCAACGTCAGTGGACTGAACGTCGAAATGTAGTTTTGCGGTGTTACATATCTGACAAGGGGTGTAAGTACTACACTCTTCATTTCTGAAGGTGCGAATACGGTGCACGCACCCAAACCACCACGTGAGGAAAGGTTTATCGCACCCGCTATGTTATCTATTGGATGGTGTGCGACCTGGTCGTGACGTTATATATGCCTGCTGCACTATGCGTTGGTTCGTTATGATTGGAGTTCCGTGTTTTCGGATAAATCCGATAAACTCCGAAAAGCACTGGCCGGTAAAAGTTTCGGCAATTCTGATTTATACGAATAACTCCGAATTTCAAGGTCACGATGGCATAAAAAAAGACGGTATTTTACGAATAAATTTTGCCAAAGCATAATGTTGGTGGTCCTAAAAAATAAGTCACTTCCGTTGTTTTTTGTTTTGTTTTTTATCTTAGAGTTTTTGTTTGTTTGTTTGTTTTTCTCTCGTCAAGGTAGGTTCAATACAATGGGCCAACGTACTTATGGACCTCGACAAAAGCTTTCCAGTTTGGAGCATGCTATTTGTGCTTCTAAAGCAAAAAAAAAAAGAGTTGTGATTTATATATATATAACAATTAAAGATGTGAGTTAGTACATTTCACAAGATGGGGAGAGCAGCTGAAGGTTGTACGCGTCCAAGAGTTTGGCTATTTCAAAGTACTGACGTTTATTGAAGTAACACTTGCGAAGATTTGTCGTTTGACAGTTAATGTTGCCGATCACAAGGGCGCCAATGCTAAATGCAGCTGCAGAAATATATTTCGATACCGGTAATCTTTTTCTATGAATTCAGTGTAAGTTTTTGTCCGGGAATTATTTATTTAAGAATAGAAGAAAAAAAAATGAATTTCGGAAAATTAAAAAAATTAACAAAAATAAACTTCGATAAACCAGCGAAAAATCTATTCCGGAAAACACCCTCCGAGTTTCACAAAAAAAGTAAACTCAGAAAACACGGAGTCCTACCCATGGCCATAAATAAGGTTCCGTGTTTTCGCATAAATTCGAAAAAAAAATCCGAAAGACACTCGCCAATGCATTTTCTGTCAATGCGGAATAATCCGAAAAACTCCGTATTTCGAGGTCAAAACGGCAAAGTGAGAAGCAAACAATGCGGTGTTTTACAAATAAACTTTATAAGCGCATAGGGTCAGTGGACCTGAGAAGGCGCCACTCCAGTTTCCTTTGAAACCTCAAAAGGGCCTTTCAGCTCGTCAAGGTTCCTTCAACGACAACTTGGTACTCGAACATTATGCATTTTACTTTGTTTTTATTTTTATTGCAAACGCAGTAAAATGAACTCTGAATTCACGAGAATTGGGAATCTAACAAGAATAAACTCCATTAAACCCCGAATTTTCAGCAACAGAAAGAAATTCATAAAACACCTTCTCAATTTCACGAGAAATTAACTACGAAAACACGGAATCCTAGTTACGATCTGCCCAGTCAGATCAGGTGAGGAACTATGCCTAGTCGTTCGGGATCTAACCTAGTAATACATAGATAGCCCCGGCTGCTTGCGCTCGCGTTCGCCTCCTCCAAGTGACAACGAGCAAAGATGCAAGAGTTAGAGTGTACCATCGGTACACAGTAATTCCATGTTTCATATCTTAAAAACAGAAATACCATAGCTGCGTGAACGACGAAAAAGCCAAACAATCACACCGTCGCGAACGAAACGACCATCTGGAACGAGAATTATTGAATAGCCGGTCAAAGTCACGCGCCTACACAAACTATCTGAATACACAAGGGATAAGAAAAAGAAAAGCCAAACCAAAAAGGAAGAAAAAAGAACAAGGTTTCATAAAAAAAAGTAAGTCCGCGCGCGCGCACATTCCCACGAGGACCGCCAGTAGCGCGATTCGGCCTTCTTGAGAACGTGTCCCCCCAGCACCCTCGATTAGTTTCATCCGTTGCCGCTGCAGTCCATTAAGCGCGACGAGTCGGCCGTTAAATTGTCCGACCGGCACAAGCGACCGACGCCGACGACGGCCGGCGAAGAGTACAGTGCTCTCGCCGTTTCTCGCGCACTCCGTGTTTGGCCGAGATGTGGCGACTCTAAGCGTTATAAATTAGCCACGCCGCCAGGACAGGTCGCCTTGTAGCGCCTCCGTGCGCTTTCCTTCGCACCTACTCTTTCACTGCTGCCCTAGTTTACCCTTTCCCTTCTCTAGAACGCTGTCCCGAACTTTATCGTCTGCAACCTTTTTTTTTCCCCTTTCTGGCTTTTGTTCCTTTTGTCACGTAGCCCCAATGGCCATGGCGATTTGGCTGTCCTCGTTCAGCAGACGAATTCAGTCTCCTTCCCTGCTACAAGTGTTTCTCTTTAACCTGTTCGTCTTTATATCCCAATTTCCCTCCTTCGCTTTATTAGCTTTTAATTATTCTTAGTGTCGTAACCTTGAACCTCTTTCATTTCTTTTTTTCCCTCTCTCTATCTTGTATTTTGCTGGGACCTGTTTATTTCTATCTATGTCGTCACTTTTACTGCTTGCTGTGTCTACCATCCCTTGTTTTGTTTTTTCTGAGTTTTGACTTTATCTTTTTTCCCTCTCTAAATCTTTGTTTCCTTCTATTTTTTTATTCCTTCTGTTAGTTTGCTTTTTTCTACAAGTACTATAATCGACTAAATTTAGAATAATTTTGTCATTGCTTTATTAGTTCTGTATCGTAGACTTGGGCGGATAATTAGATTTATGATAAAATTCAAGGTACTATTCAACCTGAATTTCTGAGGGATCAACTTTTTCTATAAGTTTCCGCCAACAAAAACAAAAGAAAAGAAGAAACAGACAGTGTCTTTCACTACGCGCGGAAGCACAAAGAAAAACCTGAACGACTACTTGTCAAACAAAGTGCTACACTTTCGCCTCTATTAGCATACAGCGTATAAAATGAAACAACGACCGACAATAAACATGTGACCCAAAAACTAAACAGAGCACTGCTTCCGGTAGTTCTTCACGTTCCATTACTGTCATGTGTGATTTAATCAAACAATCTGATAGAATATGGTTACTTGAGTCGGTATAATTATAATTTATTATTTTAAGGGGGGGGGGGGGGGAGTACAAGAATAATTTTGAGCCTTGCATATACCGAAAAATGGGGAAAATAAAACTGGGAACAATACCTGTGACGGTGCAAATGCTGTCGAGTTACTCATTTCGTCAACGCGAATCGTGTTTTTTTTTTTAGAGCGCAGCTCTTAGGCGCCCGTTTCCGGCTTGAGCGGCGTCGGCGCGTCGCCGTCGGCGTAACCGTGAGGTCACGTGAGCCCCCCCCCCCCCCCCCCTCGAGGTTACGTGCCCCTCCCCCCGAGGTCACGTGACCCCCCCCCCCCCCGGAGGTCACGTGACCCCCCTGAGAACACGTGACCCTCAGTACCCTTCCCTCCTCCTCCTCCTCAAGAGCAGCGCTCTAATTCGGCGTTAGAGAGTTGTAAACGGCTTTCTTTTTTTTTTCGTCTTTTTTCTCGTAGGCAATTACACAAGAAAGGCGCCGCTTTGGGTTCGTCCTGGAGAGGCAATGTTCCCTAGTCAAACATTACCTGGCTTACACCGCTAAGGTAAGGTGGCGTCAGTGTTGTCTCCTAAAACAGGAACGAAAGCTCCGTTCCTCGTTCTTTCCCAACCTTGGAACGATTCCCGTTACGCAGTTCCAGTTGCTCAGAAGAAACGCGTTTCCGTTACTTTTGAGATAAGAACGGCTCGTTATATTAAAGCTATATATATGCATATTTTTATTAATTATTGCTCTGGATAGTTGACAAAATAAAGCGAGCAAGTGAAAATATCCAGGTGTCGCTAGCCACGATCGCACTTTGTTCCAGTTCTTTGTTTTCGACCGTCTCTCGGACACTTCCCCGTAGTCGGATGTCAAAATACTCTCTAATAAACAGCCTAAATTCCTACTAAATTTGGGTAAAATTGCAAAAAACAACACCGTTCTTTCTGCCGTTCCTTCGAAAACGTGAGCAGTTATCGTTCCAGTTTAACTGACGCAAAAATTGAACGGCAGCGCTCCACCGTTCCTCTTAAAGGAAACGTGTTCCAAGAACATTGTTCCTTGGAACGCCGTTCCATACAACACCGTATGATGTACACGTCTTCTCTATCCAGAAAGCGAAGCGACGACAGCACTTTCTGCTTAAAACTTCAACAAGAAATCACTGTAATGCTATGCTGATCGCCTGAAAACGCGTATTTCCCGGTTCCGCAACAAAAGCCTACTTTCTATTATTTTCTCACGGCACGCGTATCCGATATTATCCGTCTAAACTTTTTTTAAATTTTATGCAGTAAACCAAATTTGGTGATGTGTCGCCTTCGTTCTACCCTCATAACGTGGACAGGGCCACGCGCTGCTCCAGCACAACGTGGAAGGCTGGTTAGACATCGTCAGAACGCGCGAGACCCTACCTGAGTCCATCGGCAAGATCTTCAGGGACGTCCCTGAATTCAGGGTGAGTTGCATAATCCTCGACAGAGAATACTGCGTTCCCGCATCAGTAGCGCGTACAGCTACGTGTGTATCTACTCCGTTTCAGCATTACTTGGCGAAGGGTTAACTGCCTTTCAACATCCTATGCGAAGCGCAAGGTCGTCTGCTTCTTTTGCAGGGGTGGTGGTGACGTCAGAAAGACGCCAACTCTGATTGGCTCTTCTGATTGAAGGATAGAGCCAATCAGAGCTCGGCGTTTTGACGTCACCATAACCCCTGCAAAAGAAGCAGACAACTTGCTGACACGGTGCTCGGTACAGACATGATGACAGAATTACCTTCGGGCGCGCCTCAAGCGTGTTCAAAGCAGTGTTGGGTAAATTACATCTACAAAATGTACTTGAATTGAAATGAGAGGTTACGTGGTGCCCCAAGTAATGTAGTAAGTACACCGGGCGCAATTGTACTTGAAGTAAAGTAGTTTAAATACGATGTACTTTCTAAGTAAAGTACAAGTACTTTTAACACAATCTTTTATGATGCCCCTTTCATTTTCTTATAGTGCGTGCGTGCGTGCGTGCGTGCGTGCGTGCGTGCGTGCGTGCGTGCGTGCGTGCGTGCGTGCGTGCGTGCGTGCGTGCGTGCGTGCGTGCGTGCGTGTGTGTGTGTGTGTGTGTGTTAACGGGTATACGTATTGTAATCGTGGGTGCATCAGTTATTTTCGGAAAGGACGGCGAATATTGGATTGAGTCAAGTGGCCACGAAGTAGTTGTTTTACTCTCGCTGATGAGCTGTTTCACACAATCAACTAATAAAGCGCTTACTTGCATCGGTCTTCTAGCCGCAACTAATTCGCTCGGAAAAATGACCAGATGGGGGATACGTCGTCTTCTCGCGTTTCCGGTTGGAGTAGAAATTTCTTCAGGACTGATAGAGCATAATTTTATTAAACAACGAGTCCGAATTCGGAGAATGCACTTCGAAGTCGGGAGGCGTACTTGCCCCGGAGGAAAGTACTCGACTAAATACTTTAAAGGAACACTGACAACCCACCAACTTTTTTTTCTTGCCAGGCGATTTAATATGGTGTCAGAAGCCCACCCAATCAATATTTTGCCGCAGTGTCACGTACATTTTAATGAAGTCACAAACCGGAACTGCTCGAAACCGAAACCGTAACTGGACTGGGAAGGAAGAAAAAATACAAAGGAGGAGAAAGATACCTAAAATCACGTAACTGTGCAAACTTTTTTTTTTTTTTAAGTTAATGTATTTGCAGCTTTTTAGAAGCCACCAAAAATGGGTATCATATTTTTGTCTATTTTTAGTACTGAGTGTGTGCCTTCGATGACCGGCGACTTTGATTGTCTTTGGTGGTTCTGTCTAAACCATTGAAAACGGCACGTGACCATGGAGAAGAGGGTGAGCGCGACTCAAACCGGCCAGTTCTCGATCGACTATTTTCGAGCGGAAAGAAAACGAATTTCGAGCCTAAATTGTGTTCTGGGTTGCTGGGCTCTCATATGTCGTGTACAAATAAAAACCTTGGCGAGCATAAATACCCTGTCAGTGTCCCTTTAAGTGCAGATATATGCTCAATAAATGTACTTCAAGTAAAGCACAAATGTTCTAACCTACTTGCAGTAGTACTTTAAGTACAATGCACTTAAATCACTTCTCAACATTGGTTTCAAAGCATGCTTGCTTCGTACAGATGCATGTCTCCAACGTGTTGGCAGGAAGTTTTGCACCAATATGACAAGACCATGAGACAAGAAAAAAAAAAAAAAACACTCCTCAGACTGTCTTTTGTATGATCTATTAGCAGTGTTACAGTGTAGGAGTGTATTAGCAGCGTGACCTTGGCTTTTGACTAGGACATGTCTAAAGATAAGGCTAACCCTCTGGCACGCGTTCTTCGGTGTTGAAGCCAGCGTTCTTCGCTCTAAACGGGTCGCCGCTCCTTGCCCAGCTTCCGGTGCACAGCAGCAGCGAGTACGCGTGTTCGGGCATCCTGTCCGACCCGGAGTCTTCGACGTCGTCCCTGCGCCAGAGCACGTCCCTGTACGGTGGCGTGCTGGGCAGCAACCTGCTCCGCAAGACTCGAAGCACGGATGCCAGCTGCCTGGACCTGCGCAGCCTCTCCGGGGGCGTGGAGACCACCGCCTTCATCAGGCCCATCTCGAGGGCCAAGTCGGACTTCAACCTGGCCTCGTCCACGGCCAGTCTTGACTCCGGAGAGTACGGTGAGGGCTGTTAATTAGCGCAGTCCGACGCGCTAGACGTTTTACACCCTTAAGAGTGTAAACCAGCTTGTCCCGGAGCTAACCCTAAGGGTGCCACAGCAACGACATAAGAATAGGGTGCCCGAACGATCTTGGCAGCATCTTAGGATCAACATGGTAGTGAATCCTGAGACCAGTGCGTAGAAGAGTAACCATACTAAGAGAGACAAAAAGAATAGAAAAAAAAACCGTTGTCAGCCTTTGTTTTTTTTTGTTTTTCTGCCTCTCTTACACCTATTTGTCTTTTTCACACCACTCTGATGTTCAATACACACCAACCCGCCTGTACTTTCATTTTTTTTTTTTTTTTTTTTGTAATGATAGAGATATACACGAGAAATACGTTTGAGTGCATGTAGTCCTCAAATGCACAGAAGCCGCAAGTACAGCACGCACGAGACCGAAATTCTGGTCATGTTGACTGCTTCACCATCTTATACTCGACAATTGAGAAATATTCATTTGCAGGTAAACCCCTCCGCGCGCAGTCGCGAAGGTTACAAGTATGCGAGTATTGCTTTGATCTCGTCAAAAATTCACATAAAGCGTAATATGAAAAAAAAAGAACACGTGACTACCCGCTAACGAACTGCAATGCCGGTGTCAGTCCCGTGGAATCTTTTCTTTTTATATATACAGGGTTTTTTTTTTTTTTTTTTTTTTATTCTTACACATTTGTTTAAAAAAAGCCGGGAAAGCTACACTAATGCGGTTTGTGCAGGTGGGTTATACAGCCAGGCGGACATTATGTGGGTGGCTAATCTCTGCGATAAGTCGGCTAATTAATTAAAATTCGTTAATTAAATTTTTAATTAATGGAAATAGACATATGGTTTCAATTAGAAACTTGTAGATCATCGTCGAAAACCACTAAAATCAACTGTTTTTGGAAGGATATAACGCCGGGGAAGCATTTTACGCCGTTCTGTAAAAGCGTTCCATTTGGACGCGTTTCTAGATTTCGGTTTCTTATCGGAGCGCATCACCGCGCCCGCGGTCCTGCTCCCCAGTGGCTGAAGCGCGTAGCACACGTGCGCCGTACTTCCCTCCATTCTACGAGGGAAGCGAGGAGGTGGCTTCACGCCGTGACCACCGGGAAGCAGGACCGCGGGAGCGTAGATGCGCTCCGATAGGAAACCGAAATCTAGAAACGCGTCCAAAGGGAGCGTTTTTACAGAACACGTTAAAATGCTGCCCCGGCGTTATATCCTGCTAAAATTGTTGATTTAGGGGTCTTCGATGATGCTCAGCAAGTTTGTAATTGAAACCATATGTTTATCTTCAGTAATTAAAAAGTTAATTAACGATTTTTAATTATTTAGCCGACTTATCGCAAAGATTAGCCACCCAAATAATGTCCGCCTGGCCGTATAACCCACCTCTACAAAAACAGCATTAGTGTAGCTTTCACGGTTTTTTTTTTTTAAACAAATGTGTAAGAATAAAAAAAAAAAAACACTCTATATATCTCGCACGTCTTTTTTTTTTTTTTTTACGCTCGGAAAAATTGAAAACACGAAGGCTGCATTGACGGAAATGACACAAGAGGATGTTTCTCGACACGCTCGAAAACTTTTGTATTGAACGGTTTCTTCACAAATTAATAAGAAGCATGATAGTTAATCTGCGTTAATTAGCCATTTTGGAACATCGCAAGAAGCACCTTAACTCGCTCATTATGACTGTAAACAATGCGCTGTGTTGGTACTCGACACGCGCTGCGGACAGCAGCTTTATGCACCGACAAAATAAGGGAGAGAAGGAGGCGAGAGCGCGCAGAGATGCCAGAACGTCGTGCTCTGGTTGGAACCATTAGTGGGTAGACCTAAAGTGAGCTACCTTTGTCTTTACTGTACTCGTCGAACGCGTTCAAATGTGGGACCCAAAAGCCGGACGCCGGTGCTCCGCGTACTAACGCGTTCGAGGAGTGCAGTGGAGACAAAGGCAGTTAGCTTTAGGCTTACCCTCTAACTGCTCCAACCAGAGCTCGCCGTTCTGACGTATCCGCGCGCTCTCGCCTCCTCCTCTCCCTCAGTCTGGGCACAAGTTCGCTGAAACACCCTGTAGCTAGCGCACTCTAGCCGGAGAATCACCGAGGTCGGAAGGCTAAGCTCTAAGTTGGGACTTGCGCGCGAGCACGTGTTCTTTGGTTCTTATACAGTGAATCCTACGAGGACCAAAGGCAGTCTGAGCCCCGAGCTGGGTCCGGCAGACAGACCCCGGGTTCGGGCCCTCTACTCCTACCTGTCGAGCGGAGAACACCAGCTGAGCTTCCACGAGGGTGACGTCATCGTCCTCGTGGGATCGCGCAACGGCGGGTGGCAGTACGGCGTCAATCTGCGGAACAACAGGTCTGCCCGGCTTGGTGGAACACTTCGATACTCTGTTAGCTACAAGCGCGAGCTAGTCTGCGCTGCTGCAACTTTGTGACATGCATTTCTAGATGGAGCGCTCATTCTGCGGAAGTTTGCTTCAAAGCAGCGACATCGAGCTCTCGTGTTTTTGGCATTGGCTGCGGTCTCAGCTAAAGCGAGAACGGAGAACACCAGGTGAGCTGGTGTTCTCCGTTCTCGCTTTAGCTGAGACCTCCTGACAGTGACGTCCCACTGAGAAAATTTGATTCTTCAAAACCAAAAAAAAAAAAACTTTTTTTAGGCCGGTTTGTTGATGAATGTGGGTACCTCTCCAGGCAGGTGGTTAAGTCACCCACATGTGGTCACCCACAAGAGGGATTTTCTGGTCACGTGACCGGCTCCGTAGAGAGAAAGTCGATCCCGCTCAGCAGACGTAAGCCTTGCCTGTTGTTCTCTCTAGTTCTCGATTAACGGGACCTTCCCCAGATATAACTTTACATGCTGCTTCACGTACTTGAATGCGGTTCATTTCACTTACATTTCAAACCTCTTACCCCTTATTCTTCGCACGAAATCGGACTTCAATTTCCAAAGTGACGACGGACTTACGGATAACTTTAGTTTCTTGTCTCCACGAAGCCGGTCGTGTGACCTCCAAATCCCCCTTGCGTGTGATTTAACTGCCGGGAGAAATACCCGCATTGGTCAGCAAACCGGCCCTGGGGAGTCACAAAATAGCAGTCAACGTTTTGCTGAGACTCAGCTTAATCATCAGCGCCAGGATGAAGCTATGTTCTTAATAATAGTTGCTGGTACTTCGTCCGAAAGGCCTTTGGCCGATGAGACCTCATACGCATGGCTACTATCTCGTTCCAGGTGCGGATGGTTCCCGATAGCCTACACAGAACCGCACGACTTTGGAGACATATCAGACTTCGAAAGCTTCATTAGGTAGGTACGACGAGAATGACCGCAGCACTACGCACAAATAAAAAATAATCTGCTGAACCAGCGAATTACTAGATTACCAAAAACCAACGCAGCGCATTGACAGCCCAGACCACGTCCTGAAACGAGAATAGAAATATTCTCCACGTGCCACTGAAGACTAACAATAACTGTGCCGGTGTTAGAAATCAAGCTTCGACCTTGCTTGCTTACCGCGTTTTTCACAAGCTTTTCTTTGACCATACGCAGCTGCGGTCGTCTGAAACTTTACATTCCTTCCAAACGCGGTGTCGTATCTGAACGCGTCAATTTTTTCATTCACGTGTGATCATGTTTTCGTTGGAAATGACACACAATATATGTAGCAAGCCTTCAGCAGTGACCGCCACAAATATCAAAATCGATTGCGAGTAAGAAAAGCATTATAAGAGCACTGCAGTCCAAACTCCTGGAGCCTTTAAAGTTCACGTCGTATGCAAAACGCACGTGGCTCTTCAATACTTTAAATTATTTTAGAAACTATACGGCTCTTCAGAGCTTAGACGGTGGTTTTAAAAAGAGCAAAGGACTAAGAAAAGAAGGAGGGGACAGGACAGAGCGCTCTGTCCTGTCCCCTCCTTCACTTCTTAGTCCTTGGCGCTTTTTAAAACCACCGTCTAGATGTTCAACCAAATAGCCTTCCAATTAATTCTGATTCAGAGCTTAGGGACGTCATAACTCGAGTTGCCGTACCTCTGGTGCGAGAGTGTCCCTCCAGCTGAGGCACACCCTGGAAGGAATGCCAAAGTAGGATGACATTACTATCGCGCTGCAGGTGATGCAGCAGAAAGATACACACATAAACTTTGCTGTTTCAAACAAGTCAGCACTAATGTACTATACGTATTTACACATTTCCAGCTTCGCTGCCATCGCTTTTACTGTTCAGTGTTCTATAAAGCTACGACCGTCTGCTTTGTTGTCTTAGCCGTCTCGCACCTATTGTTTTAGCACCTGCGGTCACTGACTGCTTTAGGACAAGGAGCGTCTTGTGCTCTATTTATACCTAAGATAGCAGAGCGGAAGCTAGATCCTCGATGGACCAATCAGCAGTCGGCCTCGCTCCACGTGGCGTGCGCTCTCCGCCCATGTACGCGTATGAAAAAGGGGAATGGTTGACTGGTCTATCAAGGACGTAGCCGTTACTTCACTGCCAGCTTAGGAGCAGTGGGAACTTGCTGTCCTTCGTGGTGCTTACCTAAAGACCCGTCGAAGGCGGTTACCTCAGCTGGACGCTAGAAAGACGCACCTTGCCGTTTCTAACCTGTCAACTAGTCTAGCGCTCTCTTAGTGTCTCTGTCATCCTGCTTCCCTGTCTCACCCCTTTGCACACTCGTTTTTCTTCCACCACCACCGTCCCGCTAACCCCGCCTCCTTCCGAAATCGGCTGATCAATAGCGGCTCAGACAGCTCCCCGGCTGTCCCTTCATCGTCCTCCGAGTCCTCTGGAGGTTCAACGGGTGTCAGTCACCGCTGGCGGCCGCAGAGCTTCGGAGCGTCCCAGGACGTGGCGTTCCGCGTGGGCCTGCCCTCGGCCCCAGCGCCTCGTCGTCCTTTATCGAGCTTTGCAGACACCTACCTCGTAAGACCGAACCCGAGTTCCTTGAGTCGCTTGACCATGCACTTCACGGACTCTCAGAAGTCATCGAGTGTATACTCCACCGCAATGCACCTGGAACACAAATCATAGGTCCTCTACTGAGACCACGTGGCCATTGGCGTCGTGCGCGACCAAAAGCGCCGCTGTGGTCGGCCTTCCAGGAACTTGATGAATTCTACTTTCGTTAACCCTTCGACGGTCGTCGCCGTGCATGTACGGTGGTGATTACACATCTGAAAGTGCCCGCCTAAACGCGAAACTGCGCGCACCGCGGGAGGGGCGCGCAGTTTCGGCAGCTTGCTTTGAAGTCTACCCACTATCCTTTAATCAGAGCCAATCAGAGATCGGCCGTCGGAGGTCACCGCAACCCCTGCAAAAGAAGCAGACAAACTTGCGGCTGCGTATGACGCTCCGCGCACGTGCATGAGGCTCACTTCGCATACCGGTCGCTCTGACGGTAGTGCCGATGGGAGCACTGGCCCTCCGATTCGGACTTCCAGCGTTTTTCGTAATTAAATTCAGAGGATAAGAGATCATCATCCGACGGAGATGCTCTTTAAAGTACCTCCGGTTAGGCATCTGAAGCCGCTGGAATGTTGCTGAAGCGGTCGCACCAAAAATGAAACCTAATGGCAGCTAGGTGACAACTTTTCGCTTTCAATATTTTCATTTGATGCTTCTAAACCTAAACATCTTGCAAGCACTGCACGTGCTCTCGCTGAATAATTAAAGGGAAACTGAAGCGGTACTGTGTTTGAGTAAAAACACTTAATTCGTCTTCATCAGTTCTCCAGAATCACGAATATCGAGACTGATTTTCAATTTGGTGCATGGAGGCTGCAGAAAATCATTTTCAAACGACCGCTGAAGCCCCTCTTTTTTCTGAATCTCCGCTCTCGCGCATCTTCAGCGCCTCACAAAGCTATGCACGCGCACTCTTGCTATTTTCAGAAAAGTCAGAAAATGACTTTATAACTGGATTACTTTTCTCACTGGGTAGACTGATTCAAGGAAGACTAGTGATCCAAGTTCTGGGGGAATTGTGGTGGAGTATGTACTCAGGAACATCTGGAAGTGCACGTCTTTATTCCTTTTTTCACGTGTCTAGCACTCCTTTATCAATGTTTTTCTTTTTTTGTTTACGTGCGAATTTGTAACAAGCACGTCCAGCGGTCACATTTCAACGGCCGCCTTACTATCGTGCTTCAAAACGAGAGCATTCGTATTGCCAGGGTACATATTTTACCAAACTAGTCTCAACAAGTTTTCTTTTTAACAGTGAAATTAGAAATATTTTACGCTAGAGTGTCTTCTTGCAGCTATTGACCAAATCTATTCTTCCTCCATTCCCCATGTGCACTTCCCGTTTCGCTTTGCTTGCACTGTGTGTTAGCTTGTTGACGTGCATTCTATGTTGTAAATTGTCCTCAGAGCCATGAACAACCTCAAACTTTCTTTGTAACAGTTGCAGCACCGGCTTACAAGGTACGGTTATATTTGCGGAGCAACGTACGGCTCTTGTGCCAAACTGTCGGCTGTAAGGCGTGGATTAAGTGTCTTGACTGCACTGTGAGGGTGGTAAAATAATATTTAAGGCACCACATGCAGCGACGGCATCTTACCAGTGGCTTGGGGTTAGTAACATCGGGCTCTGGAGCAATTGAGACAGAGGGTTATTTAAATCTAAGGGACAGCTAAATCTGAGGAGATTAACAAGACAGAAAGCATGCAGTGTGCAAGTCTTCTGTAATCTCGGGATTTGTCCCTTGTCCTTTGCTCCCGGCTTGTCCATGCCCAGTAAGGGCTTGACGATCCTTTTAGTGTCGAGCTTTCATAACCCAAACATCTACTAAAGTCTCCGATAACTCCTCAAGCTTCACAAGCGTCTTCCAGACGTCATGCCCTTGTGTGGCATCTTGCAGGGGCCACACAAGGTAGAAACCCTCTGATAAGTCCTCCTAGAGCTCCGGGGTCATTTTACGGGCACGCAGACAAGACTCCTGTCCTTTCTTTCCTGCACCCCAGTTCCGCCAGCCACCGTCGCCCTTCCACCTACGGCTGGACACCGGTGGCCCAGCCGAGTCCGCCGCCCAGCCCCATCATCGAGGGCTACAACCCCGTCCTTCTTCAGCCACGCTTCAACCAGCCACCGCCCTTTATGGGCCCGCGAACCCCACCGCCGCCGCCTCCGCCACCGAGCCTGCCGGAAGATTCGGAGCCGGAGGACCTGCCGCCACCACCGTGGCAGCGGGAACCCCGACCAGCACGGACCACCACCTCCGCCCAGCCGGTTCCTCCTCCGCCGCCTCCACCCCCGCTTCCGGCGCAGCACCAGCCACCATCCACCCTCTCCACCACCACCTTCCGGGAGGCGTCGCGCTGAGGCCACCCCGGAGGTCCATGACGTCGCCATTCCCGTTCCCGATGCTGCCGCCAAGGTTGCCGCCTTCCACGAGTCTCCACAGCAGCAGCGACAGCGGCTTCTGCAATGACTCCTCCGGGCAGGGTAGTAGCACTGGAGGGGGTGGGGGCGGCGACAAGGTGACGCCGTCCTGTTCTTCGTCGGCTGAAGAGGTCGAAGAGGAGAAGGCTGAGGGCGAGGTGGAGAGGAGTAAGGAGGAAGAGGAGGAGGAGGAAAGGGAGAAGGCGGAGGCGGCGGAAGAGGCGGAGGACGTTGTGGAGGAGGAACTGAGGTGAGGGGGACGATTTGGTTCGAGTCGATTTAGAGTATGTACCCTTCATGGAAGCCAGACCGCCCACTCTGAGCGACAGAAAGAATGTTTGAAGCAAAGGCATGCATGGTTTGCACTGACGTCATACCAACTTCCATTGTGGTGGCTTGTCTAGAGTGCATCCCTCCTGCAGCATACGTTCCACACCACTGAGGTTGTTTTTCTCGGCAAGAACAAGTAGAACTGGCCATTAGCACAATGCCTTGACATCACGTGCAAGCCATGTATATGCTTGTCTCATTATTTTCCTCGAAAATGATTTGTTGAGAGTGATGCGTTGTCCTGTCCACCTAAAGAATAATGCATCCCTTGGTTTCCCATTCCTGCGCAGTGCGCACCCACTAAAGCAGTGTACATTGTAAAACCAGGCAGCTTAATTCAGCCAAGCACTCAACTGTCTGTTTACTGGCGTAGAAATGCTGTTGCATTTCGATGTTTCTTCTATGAAGGCCATATCCCACCGAACAAACTGAGAGCACCATAAGGCAGTGGCATAGCCGGGAAAGGGGGGTCAGTCTGTCGTTACCAATATAGGGGATAAAAAGGATAACGGCACATAAGCTACTGTTTCCCAACTCTCCGCTTTGGCACAGTGGTCGAACGTCAGGCTCAAAATCTTGGGGTACTGGCTTTGGTTCTCCTTGGTTGGGGCGTTCGCAAAATATTTTTTATTCTCAATTCGTACTCTAAACGTCCGCGTTTCGTGTTACAGAGAAGGATTTTCCCGGAGTGGCTGCCGAAAGAAATGCTATCGCATTAAAAAGAAAGAACCATCAATGACGTATTCAGCTCGTCAGGACACCGCAGAATAATGTTCAAGTTCAACTTTAAGGTATAGCAAAGTTATTTTTGTCCGATTATAAACTTAGGAAACGCACCCTCTAGGCGTGTGGCTACGCTGCTGAAAACTAAAATTCGCAGAAACGTGCCAGCCTTCATTTAAAGAAAAAGAAAAAGGATTTTATGCTTTTACCTTACTATGTGTTTCCTTCAACGATAGGGACGTAACTTTTCTAGGGGTATTTGCGGTTATTAGCATGTTTTGTTCCACTGACGTGAAGAATGAGAATGAGAGTAGCATGTACGATGGGAGAAGCATGAATGTGTCATTCGTCATCATACTTCGTACAATTTTATATAAAGAACATAGAAAACAGGAGGAACTCCACAAATCGCGCTTTGGTTTCGCACGGTGCCCACCCCGTGGATGTTGCTTCTCCGCAAAGCCGCAGTGCGCAGTGAGAAGAGCATTTAACGGAGCTGACTAACCTGCCTAGAATATGACGTTTTTCGAATCGGTAATGGAAAATTTCAAAACTGCGCATGCCAGCCTCAACGATTCGCCGGCGGTGTAACAGGGTTCGAGTTATTACTTCTGGTGTTGAGAAAGAGGCATTAACTATTGGCGCAATGTTAGTCCAAATCCCCCACACCTTAGTGAAATTCGGGAAAAGGTAGCGAGGCGGACACTTTGTCCCCAAAGGTGCGGCAAGCTAGTCATTGCAGAAGCATGAGAAGTCATGCCAACTTTCTTCTGGACCTGTAGCTGCAAGTGTAGGGTCTGTTGCAACATTAGAACTGTGAGAGAGAGTCCACCCTAATAACAACCCCGGAGATTGTCACTACCATGCCACAAACACGCCTTCTGACGTCACAAAACGGGAGGCGCATGTCAGCGGCCATATTTTAACCTTGGCACCCGCAAGACCAAATCTCCTCATGACCAACACACTTTGGCACATTGGCCATTGAGTGGTGCAATGTTCTGTTACTTGTCGGCAGAGTGTCTCTTAATTTATACACCAATGCACTGTTTGCACATCGGCCTGCGTTTGCCCACCAGGTGTGGGCACCGTGCATGCGTAAGGTACTTGCGCTTGCGCCTTGCTGACAGCGGCGCAACCGCAGCGGCGTGACACCAGAGCTGCGCGTTGATGCATATATTGCAACTGACTAAGTTATGGAGCAATTTACGCGGGGTGGCATTCCACGTGGATGTATTTTCTACTCGTTCAGTATGAACTAATCATTTTTTTTCTCATTATTTGCAGGGAAAACGCTTTTTCCTCCGTCAAGCTGAAGAAGGTGCTAACCAATGACAGGTCAGCGCCCATGATCACGTGATTATGGCTGGCCAACCGTGCAATCCCGGCAACGCAGCAGCAGCAACATTCCAGGGATGAAGTGCATTTTTCATTAGGGCCACGCGTGATGGCCGCGGAATGCCAGGTTACTAATATATGCGGTTACTTTGTTGATTTGTACGACGTGTTGGGAGACTTTTTACTAATAATAAAATGGCAACAAGACTCTCCTAGCTTTGTGGAGCACGTTCCTTACACTTTAAATTTTACAACCAGCAGAAGACTCGTTTGAAAATGGCTGCCTGAGAATGCATGTAAGGACTTTCCAACTTTTATCTCAATCCACTTTTTTTCTTTCCTTTTTTTTAATGTACAGTAGTTATACAGAACTTGATTTTGATCAAGATTTTGGTCTGTTATAAAAGGAGTATGTTGTATCAAGATATGAAGTTAAGTCAATGGTATGTAGAGGAAAACCAACCAAACTTCACGAATCGGTATGTTATATCCAAATGTCTGTTGTAACAGGTGCTGTAATGAGCTTAGACTGTATGTTCTCTGCAATTTGTTTTGAAGGTGCTAACCTAGACTGCTTACATAAGACTTAATTATGGGCTCTGAAACTAGGCGCCAAAAATGCCCAGTCTTGATTGGAATTAAACTATAATATGAACCACATAGTACTTCCAATCATAAGAAAAAAAACATACTCAGCAAATTTCTGGGACATTTCGAGAGAATCATTAGAATGTAAACAACTTGAAATAACCAAGAAAGTCGCAGAAAATCAAAGTCAAAAACTTCAAAAGTAGCGTGAAAACAGACGTAACTTTATTTCACTACTCTGCCGGCTTCCACGGTGCTCGTATAATCCTCTCCTCTATCTGTGCTTCTTTCTTCTCCAAGGTCTGTATCACTTTCATCCTCTGAACTGCTGCAGATGAGATAGAAACAGTGTATGCCACACATTCTAACACTCTTCAAAGTTTTCCAAGGTGTACTTGTTGTACGGCAGAAACTAGGTATAATCTCGTCAACCAACCCGAAACTAGACGCGATAATAGCCATACCGTGACTGTACACCAATTCATTGTTCGTAAACATGCTTATTTGCCCACTGGAGCTCTGTATACGTGGGAATGTTTTTTTGAAAAGCATATCAAAAGCAAAGCAAAACAATCAGAAATGTGAGTGGGCATACTATAATCAGATTTGCTTTTTCAACTGTACACCCTACATAGAAATGGTAGCAGTGGCTTCCACAGTATGAGTGGCCTGTTAAGGACCAGCATTTGCATGGACTAAATCTTGCTTGAAACTTGACACCTTTCCCATGTACTTGCTAAAGAGTAGATAATTGTAAGTGGGAATGGAATAGTGGAACCAAGACAACATCAATCAAGAAATTATCAACCAATATATTTTCTCGGCATCTGCAATGTCCTTTCCTTTCTGCTTTAGCAGAAACAAAAACAACTAAAATCGTTCTAAGCTGAGTTGAAACAAAAAAAGGTAAAACTCCACAAAGACTAACTAGAAAGTCTGTTGAAGTGCACACCCTCAAACTAATATCTTTCCGAGATCGACTGACACACATTAGGTGGTAAGTCATTTGTCCTCGACTGTACATCCCACAAACTAGGCTAGGGATCACCGTAGGTTGGCTAAAACGTTGCTTCTTACCCTACTTCCTTACACATTGGATGTCACGCTTCGATCCTCACAACCAAGAAGCATAACCAAGCCATCTACTCAAAGTTTCTATCAAATAACACCACAAAATCTTAAACAAACCGATGCTGTCAGCTTAACACCCTGCCGGGCCTCGCGTGATTCACGTTACTTCCACAAAGATGCCATCATCCGGACAACATGCCTACCCCTTGTTCACAAACTAGCAATATGCTTATAGCTCAACTACAAAAGCAAGGCTGATGCAATGACTTGGTAGCATACCTCGAGGGTGGTAGCATTCCCACCCTGTAATTCGGATTGTGATCCTCTTCATCAAAGCCCTCCTCGTCGGAAGACGTCGGAGGTAGCTCCACTTCACCTGCAGAGCAGCACGTGAGAACTTTTATACTTTACATAGTTAACGGCCAGATTAAGACAACCACACCAAAATATAAAGCTGAACCAGCATAAAGCGACTTATATCAAGTAGCAGCATTGGCTTTTGCCGTGGCAAGTACAGGGGGCAGCCTATGTTCTCGTTGGGTGAAGTTCAGGCCGGAACTGTCAAAATGCCATGCAGAGAGCGTCCGGTGCGTCAAAGAGACAATAGGGAGTTTTAGCGAGTCGCTGTTCGCGCCCAAGGTTACGAAATCACGAACGGTGCTGCTGGTTCGTTCCGTGAAACCGTACGTGAAATTTGACATATTTTAAAGAATCGTGAAACTGGCGCAACCGTGTAAACGATTATGATGATTGTGTTTGACCGGTGGCGCCATCTTCTATTAAACATGTGAAACATTCTGTGTGCGAGTCCGTGGCAGCTCATGTTTCCGGCGTACAACTGACGTAAACAAGACGGCCGACGTAACATTTGCCGGTCGGAATTTCAAGAACTGCAAAGCTAAATAGAGTAAAAAGCATCTGAATGACCGGAATGTATGTGATCTGTCTCTGTCCCCTTGAACTCGAACAATCGTTCATGTTGTGTACCGTCAAACCAAATCATTCCGTCTGCTCGCAGTCGCCACGGCAGGTAGTCTGCCCGCAGATCGCCAAAATTTACTAACATGCGCAGTTTACAGCGTTCACGATCGCTTATCATTGTGAGCTGGAAATGATTTGGTTCAACCTCTCGAATGAAGCAGATTAACAGGATGGCAAATCGCCTCCTGCTGTCCTAAGCCTAATGCTCGGCTGGGTGGGCGAAGTCAGTTGCCAAACAGACCGAAAAGCAGATCGTGAACGGTGCTAGCTGCATTGCGGTGACAACTTCAGTGGCCGGAATGGGAGAAATGAATGAGAAGAGCCTCCCGACGCCTCAAACGACTAGCGCGAGCATGCGCAGCGGCGTCGCCGATGTGTTCGAGGACGAACCGTTCGTGTGGAAACGACCTGCTAAAACTCCCTGTTGAGCATTCAGAGAATATTTGTTTTAACGTGAAACACTAGATTAAAGTGTCAAGACACTAACAAAATTCTTTTTTTGCTGAGGTGTCACAAGAGTGTATGTGAATCGCATGCTGTCCCCCCTGGAGAAGTGATGGGTAGTTATTCAGCATTGAATGTTTCTATAAATCAGTGTGTTTTTGGCGTTTTGGTGGTCGTAAAAACTATGTTTCGCGAAGTCTACCAGCTCTATTTACGAATAAGCATCTTCGATGGCCTACAAAATAACGATAATCTTTGGAGAAGGGGAACCAGGGGGACAAAGGACAAACACAAATCTCCAAACACAACTAGGTGACTGGTGCACGACTGAAAACGTCCGCCTGGTCCTGGTATCGAACCGTTAACCGCTCCATTTCCAGTGGAGGACTCTACTAACTGAGCTAACCAGGGGTTAGCCGTCAGTAGAGCAAACGGGTTTTAACAGTTGCCACCAGTATAGCACCAACAAGTTTAAATGACCTGAATTTTAAGGTTATAATGATAAAGCAAAGGTACAAGTGAGCTGGACGATAATATTATACGTGACTGATGCGCGACTGAAAATCTGCCTGATCCTGGTATCAAATCAGGGACCTTCACATTTCCAGTGGAGTGCTCTACCAACTGAGCTAACTAATTGTCACATGTAAGTACTATCCATGAGAAATGGTCATTTATAACATTTTTCAAAGTTTTCAAGCACGACGGGAAAGAACAATGCACATACAAAAATATATGAAATGTATGCAAATGGCGAGTGTTCGAGGGCTCAATACTGCACAACCCACTAGGTTGCAACCAAACGCAAGTGTGCAAGCCACCCCTGAGCCGACCTAGAAAAGTCCTTGAGAGCTTCCAGGAATTGTCACGCACCTCTCGAGTCGTGCTCGCGCTGTGCAGCCTCCAGATAGGTGGCTTGCGCATCGACAACATCCTTGGAGGTTTTACAGTTTGCATAGGTGTCCAGAAGCTCCTGGTTCAGCTTGAGGAAGCCCTTGCCCCACTTGAACTTTGACAGGTAAGCCTCTGCCAAGTCCTTGTAGCCTGAAATGCAATGCTCGAAGTTAACCCTCTAACCACCCGGCCCGAGCTGTACTCGTCATGGAAGGTTGTACCAATATCACCGATGACGAGTCACACTCGTCCAGCCAAAATGAGGGTTTGTTTTCACTGCCAAACACGAGACAGGTTCATCCATCCATCCATCCATCCATCCATCCACCCATCGCGCATCTAGCCTTGTAACAGTGACCAGAAATGGCAGCACGCTTCAGTGATGCCAGTGACAGCCCTCGGAAATGGGCTCTCTCTTGCGGCAGTTCGAACAGTAGCGACGATGAAGACACTGAATTTGTCTCTGGAAGTGAGTCGGACATGGATTTTGATAACGAAACTGACTTAGACGACGATTACAGTGACGAAGAAGACAACGCGCTGGGCAGTGTTCGAGTGTGGCAACGCGTAAACTGCGTAAACACTGAAAACCCGCCACCCGCGCCTCCGAGGTTTCCCGTATTGTGCAGTGCCTGGGATTCTGCGGCAACCCACTGACGAAAAAGACATTCTCGGCTAGTTCGAGGTTTTCTTTTATTGGGACCTTGTCGACCTCATTGTTACAGAAACAAACCGCTACGCGGTCCCGCATTTCGCAGCGCAGGGTTCCTCGTGGAAACCGGTGGACCGTGAAGAGATGATAGCGTTCCTTGCGCTAATAATTTTGCAAGAAATCGTTGGCAAACCACAAGTTGAGATGTATTTGTTACCACCGCTAGTACAGAAAAACGTCTAGGCACTTGATCTTTCGTTATGGTGCATATGTTAAAATAAATACTGCGCATTTCAGCACCTGTTATTCTATTACTCTCACATGCACTGAGGGAAAGCTTCCATAAAAATCAACTTTATCAAATAAAATTTGGTAAAGTTTGAACATTTCTTTTCGAAAATAACTTGGTGGTTAAAAGTAGCACTGAAACCGAAGCAACGTGGCCAGAAAATGCTCGCCAAGAGCTCCGGCAGAACATGGCATAGGTCAACTTTATGCATCGGCCCGCGCAAAGTCGACTGGTCCAGCTTTCCGAACAAAGTTAAGCCAAAGCCGCAGGTCAGATCGTCCCGTAAAGAGAGTGTAGCTTTTGGGACGTGTTAGGTTAGTTGGGTTAGGTCCGAATCAGTTGAAGTCAGGCCAGCTTTACAATAGGTTAGGTTAGGTCGGGTTACCTAAGGTTAGATTCAGTTAGGTAGTGCTAGGTTTACTTGACCCAGGCAGTGTCTATCCTGGACTACTACACCTCGTTTTATGTCACGATGGACCACAGCGAACGCTAGGAGCCATCCCAGCCAACTCAGTCCTGCGAATGTATCACGTGACGATGCGCTCCGTGCATCGCTGCTCCCTTCCGAAGGTCACACGACACCCACGCAGTGTTGAATTGGCTTCAATGGCTCGTAGAGCCGTTTGCAGTCTATCGTAAGGTAAAGTAAAGCAGAAGCTAGGTTAGGTCGGGTTAAGTGTGTAGTTAAACTTGCCCACCAGTGATGTAAAGAACAGCCGCGATCGCTTCGACACAGGACAGCTCACAGGGCTTGCCGTAGTTGACCGGGTTGGCGGCAACCAAGTAGGGAAGCAGCCTGGGATTGGCGCCGCGCATCTTGGAAAACGGCGTCTCGTCGAGGCGTGCCCACGAGCAGTCGACCACCGCCACGCCGTTTTCAGACACCACCTCTCTGAAACACCAAAGAACTACCCTACTGTCAACTTTTCATGTCATTTAACATCTGAGAAGGTGATGCAGAAAAGGAAAACTTTTTAGTCAAAGGAACAGACACAGTTGAGAACGTCCTTCGACTAAACTTTTTTTCCTTTTCTGCACCAGTCTCAGGTGTTAACCAACATGATTAGCTACCACCAGCTCGCCTGCACACTCAGTCTTTTTACCATGTTGTGGTGCACTTACCTAAGTAAGTTCTTGTGCAAACGATGCGAGACATAGGTTTACAAACAAATAAAGACAAAATCCACACTTGTAACGAATGAAGAGCAACGATGACACTGAGTTCTCCAACATGTTAGACCTAATTGTGACTTGCACAAACCTTTTTATGCTTTGCTGCACCTTACCTGTGCATAAAAGAATGGAATTCGAGGGGAAGCATGTTTTGTTTCCATTTCTGTAAACGTTTCGACGAGTGAGAAACTAAAGGTGAAACGAGCTGAAAATTGATTCAAAGAGAGTTCTTTGCAGTCAGGTGACCGGCAATGTGTGAATGAGAATATAAGTTAATGTCAGTGTAGATTGCCTTTTTGCATGAAAATATCAACAAGATGTCATAGTTTGCTAGGATCCAGCAGCTTGTACAGACTTACTTCCTATGTGCTATGCGAGAAAACAAACGCGTCAGCTTGTTTGTTTTAGAATATATGCGCACAACTCAATGTAAGGCAGTTCTCCGAGCTACCTTCGCCAATAGACATTCTCTTCCGGGGGATCGGTGGCCGAGTGGGCTAAAGTGCACACCCAGCTCGACGCGCGTGGAGTGAAAGCTCGCGCTGCAGAACCCAGGGATCCTGGGTTCGAGCCCCACCCCTGCCCGTTTCAATCTGGATGAGCATCGTACCGGCGTGCGGTCATGTATCACTACTGCGTGGTGCACGTTAAAAACCCCAGGTTAGCAGTCGTACTGCACTGGCAAAATTGCTCATCTACAGTGTAAACCAGTGTCGCCCCTACTGGCAGACCAACCTTACGCTGTATAAATCACTATAAAGGTCCAATTTGACTTTTGACTTTTGACATTCTCTTCCAATGCGGCGTTCTGGTTTGGCTTATTTCAAATTTTCCCTGTGTGCATATGCTTGAGAAATCAGCAGTTTGATACTTTAGCCCCACGTCCCAGGGAATAAAAACCAGCCCTCGGAAGGTAAAAAAAACATGTTTTTGTTTAATGCTCGTAAAAATATTAGACGCTGGAGAAAATCAGCCATCTGTGTTAAGTCCTCATTTATTTATTTATTTATTGGTACTTCCAGCCCTTCACAAGGCCTTTACAGGAGTGATAATACATACAAGGTGTAAAACAACTATCATGCACAGACCCTTAAAAAAAATGATTCACCCGCAGGAATACAAAAGCAAAAGAAATACATTCAAGACACAAAGTCACGGCACATTATCAAGCACTATACTCTTTATATTTTTAACAACATCAGACATTTGTCATAGTGACGACGGAATTAGGGAGTTGGTTCTATTCCTTTATTGCCCTAGGAAAGAAACTAAATTTAAAACAATCATTTTTGAGAGGTGGTTCCCTGATGTGCATGCTATGACGATGTCTTGTACATTCACTGACGCGTACGTCCATGTAATTATTTTTGTCTATCTTAACTAGGCCATGAATGATTAAAAAATGAATTTCAGGTGGTCGCACTTTGTTCTCAATTCAAGAGAAGGAAGTTCAGCAAGTCTACAAAGTTCGGTGGGGGAATGGTTACGATTATATTCATTAAAGATAAACCTGGAAGCAAGCCGCTGGACTTTATCAAGTTTGGACGAGTTAGCTACTGTATATGGATCCCACACTACTTTTGCGTATTCAAGGACAGGTCTCACTGGTGCCTTGTAAGCTAATGTTTTTCTTCCTGGCGAAGCACTTGCAAGATTTCTTCTGAGATACCATAGTGCCTGATTAGCTTTTCTGGACATTTTTTATGTGTGTGTATTCCATCGTAAGTTGCTTGTAAAGGTTACTCCTAAGTACTTATTTTCGTCTGCACAAGGTAGGTTGGTGTCATCTATAAAGTAATCATAATTTAGGAAATGTTCTTTTTCTTGTTATAGACATAACTACCGATTTTTAAGGGTTTAACTCCATTCGCCACTCGTCGCACCACTGTTTGATACTGAGGAGTTCATTTTGCAGTTTTAGTTGATCTTGTTCAGTTTCTATTTTATTGTACAAAATACAATCATCCACAAACAGCTTGATTGGAACCGATATTCCACGGCGTATGTCATCTATAAATAACAAAAATAAAAGCGGTCCTAGCACACTACCTTGTGGAACTCCAGAAGCAACTGGAGCGGGTCTATACACACAACCTCCCAACTCAACGAATTGAACTCTCGATGAAAGACACAAGCAAAACTAGTTTGTAATGATGGGGTTCCTAAACAGGGCTTTAATTTTAAGCAACAATTTAGGATGAGACACTTTATCGAATGCTTTTGCAAAATCTAAAAATATGACCTCCATTTGGCCACGGTTATTTATAGTTTGGGAGAGATCGTGCACAAGTTTCGATGAGTTGGGTCGTTGTGGAAAGACATTTACGAAATCCATGTTGATATTGAAACAAAATATTGTGATCGTCAAAGAATGTTAAAAGATGCTTTGAAACAACATGTTCGAGAAGCTTGTAGCACGTGTTAATGAGAGATATAGGTCGGTAGTTTTCCATACAAGGAACAAAGCCTCCTTTATGTATGGGGACAATTTTGGCAATCTTCCAGGCTTTTGGCACAGAACCATTATTTATAGACGACTGAAAAATTATAGTAAGATATTTAGCAACCCATTCAGAGTACCGCTTCAAAAACGCATTAGGAATTCTGTCAGGCCCGGGACTTTTCTTTACATCTATGTTAAGCAAGAGGTTAATGACTTCCTCGTCTTGAATTAATAAGTCACTAATTGGAGGATAATCAGAAAACTCTCTACCTCTTGGTAAATGTTGGTTGTCTTGAGTAAACACAGATGAAAAAAAAGTATTCAATTCTTCCGCTCGTAGCTGACTGTTTTCGGTAGTAATTTCCTTTTTTTTTTGGGGGGGATTAACATACCGCCAGAGTTTAGCCGGGGCTCCCGTAATGAATTTCTTAAGCGTGACATTGCAAAATTTATGCTTCGAATCTTTAAGAAGCGTCTTCAGATCGTGACTCAAGCTTTGCAGTGTCATTTTCCTAGAGTCACTTGGTTTAATTGCATTACCTTTCCGACATTGCTTTATTTTTATTTTTACATGTATAATTTCTCTAGTGATCCATTGGCTCTTATTTCTTATTATTTCGATACACATAGGCACAAATAAACTAATACAGTGTGCTGTCACATCAGCAAAATATTTCCACAAAACTTCGGTAGCAGTATCTAACTGGTACAGTGACTGAAAGTCGTCAAGCGATTTCTCAAGATAATCTAAAATGCTAACGTCATCTGCTGCCCCAAAATTAAGCACCTTTTCATGCGGAGGGCGATCAAGCCTGCAAGGGGTGAAGTTTAGCGTCATGGACGTCATTTTGTAATCTGAGATGCCTTCAAAAGGTTCACATACCGAAAGAAGAGATGTTAGGTTTGTGAAAACAAAGATTAGGTCAAGTAATGATGATTCAGCAGAAGTCGTTCTTGTGTGTTCTGTGCCAACTTGAGAAAAATTATAACAAAATGCAATTTCCAGTAGTTGCTCGCAGCTGGCCCCGTCTGTTGTAAGCACTGAAAGCATACTCCAGTCAATGCCTGGTAAATTAAAATTGCCTACTAACAAGATGTTTTTATTTTGACATATCACAGAATCCATATATCGTCACAACCTGGCTAAAAAGTCGACTGAGGAATTGGGAGGTCTGTATACACCACCCAGGACTATAACCCGGTCATTCATTCTAATCTGGACCCATAGAGCTTCGATATCTCTAACCTCATCCAGTACAGTAAATACAATATCGCTTTTGATCAAAATCGCTACTCCTCCGCCACGTGCTTCCCTACCTGTCTAAAATATTGCAATGTAGCCACGTTTCTGTAATTACCATGGCGTTGAAATCGTGTTCAAGAACAATGCTTTCAATTAGGTCCACTTTATTTACAATACTTCGGGCATTTATGTTAATTAGTTTGAAGCGTGCTTTGTTGTGACGTCATTTATCCTTATCTTGTGTACTCGGATATGATGAGCACCGATATCTTTCGTTTCTAACCTCGTCCCAGGCATAGAGAACGTTGTTTATTTTGACCTTATCAAAAACCAATCTAGCTTTTGCTCCTTCCTTTCTTTCATCTGCAGTAGAGCTCCACAGGTTCTTTCGTATCTCCACAACTCTTTTTGAGAAATCCTCGTTAATGCTGATTTGGGTACCCTTTAGTTTGGAGCAAGTGTTAAGAATTTTCATTTTATCCCGAAAGTCAGCGAATTTCACAATAACAGGCCGAATTCTACCGGGTATGTGCCTCCCAAGTCTGTGAATTCTTTCAATGGAATCAACCTTAACTTTCAGTATACCATCAAATACCTCATGAGTTACACTTCTCACAGGGACTTCTTCCGTTTCTGGTGTTGCTTCACTGATACCTCTAATTATCAAATTATTTCATTGGGATTGATTCTCAAGATCGTCAATTTGTTTGTATAAAGAAGTAATTTCATGATCGTGACCGGTAAGCGTGGTTTCAATTTGAAACCACGCTCACTTTTTTTGTTCACAATATGCCCATTGAAAAGCACGGGGTCAGAGCCCAAGTACGCACCTGATCTCGCCACGTCACCGTCTCCTTCCACACAATAAAATCCGCCTGTTATGGTCACCGAATGTCAATAGACACACACACAAATGCAGTGTCTGAAGCCAGGTACAGCTGCACCATCTTCCAAGTGCTGTCTGCTACCAATGCGGCAACGCTACCTTCAACTCCAAGCTAGGCTGCCAAACAGATCACGCGTAGCTTTAGTATAATCTTGGGAGCTGTAATATAATCTCAGGAGCTTTAATATAGTCTCAGGCACGCACAAAGCCTCGTTGGAACTGCCAAAGGTACGCCAGACGACCGCCTTCCGCTCCCAGCGTCGACCTCCAAAACAACATGTCTGACTTTCCCTAGCGTTGCAGCGTTCATGTTAGCAGACGACCCTCAAAAGATGGCGTCTCCCATTGCTGGCAATGGCTTCAGACGCTGCATTCGTGCATTCCTCTATATTAAAGACGCATTGTTGCCATGGTGATGTTGACGGGCTTTAGTGTGTTGAAGGAGACGGCGGAGTGGCGAGATCAGATGTTTACTTGGGCTTTTTCGCCGTGCTTATAAATAGGGGGCAGAACGGGAACAAAAACAGTTTAAAATGAGGACGTAACTATGTGGCTGATTTTCTCCAGCGCCTAATATTTTGACGAGCCTTACATGAAATGTGCTTTTGGCATGCAGTTTCGAAGAAGATTTTCAATTACCAGCATGCCGAGAAGTCGTTAAGCCTAGTGAATTGAGCCTAATTTACTTCGTACAACAGATGGGAACGACTGACTGAGATTACAAAACCAGAATAGCAGTTAGCTCAAATTTTTTTTGCAGTCGGGCTATTTATGTGTAACACAGATAAGTTGTTTTATGGCTTACTCAACTTAATGCACAATAATGAGTGCCTATTCCTAATTAACATTACTGGAAAGCACCGGCCTACAGTCAAGCTTGCTGAATGTTACCCCGTCAAAACTGACACGTTTGACGACCTTTATAGGCAACGTGCAATGCTGTTTGGTTTGGCGCTATCTAGCGAATGAAGCAAGAAACATTGGGTATGCCTGGGAGTGGCGGTTGCATTGTTTAAATGTGAGCTATTTCTCTGGTCGCGCCGCTTAGCCTAGTGTCTGAAGTAAGAAATACTGGGTAGGCCAGGAAGCCATGATCACATAACCTGCCTGTGCAGCGGAAGCTGGCGGGCCAATCAGAACGCAACTATCTGTCACCGAATTGCGCTTTTACTGGGATGATGCATCCGGCTTTTTGCTGCGTCATGCTCCCATATCTGTGCGTTGTGCTCGTATATATAGCACACATCGAAGCCGTCGGCCCGCAATGTGGGCTTCCTTCGCCAAGTTACAACGAGACAGGGTATAACCGTGGGCTCTCACTATGCTGGCGCTGCCTGGCTGTTGCCGGCTGGCTATAACCAGTCAAACAAAAGTGCAATAATGGCAACCGTGTGCAACACATCTACACTGGTGGAGAGAGACACATCGGCGGAGGGAGTGCAACCGACCAGCAGAACACCAAGCGGAAGCGGAAGTCGGGGGAGGCGCGACTGACTAGGCTAGGTCCAGTATCCATTACTGTTGATCACCCGATACAAAGGGGAGAGCCGCAGACTCCAATCCAATCCAATAACTCGGTAGGACGCACAGGCGCAGATGCCTCCACGTCTCTGTTGTAGGACGTTAATTAACTAATTCCATAACTATTAAATCATATAGATACGGTGTTTATCTGCACGCACCTGTCCTGCGGAGAGACGCATCTGGTCCCAGACGGAGTCAGGATGACACCGTGGAACCGCTGTCCTAAACGGAGCAGACGGATCAAATTTTTCCGCGCCAGTTTGCGGCCCGTACAGCGTTTGGGGTCGCAGTGGCCTAGGTCCCACATCGCAACTGGGAAGGGAGAGTGGATATTGGCCATGTCATCCTCACCAGCAGAGGCATCTGCAAAGCAAGACCAATGATGTCAGTAGGATCGAAAGACAAATCCTCCGTATGTGACGTCTTGGGCGAGACAGACTCGCTGGATATAAGGGATGTCACCACTCTCAAGGAGGTTCACGTATACCTGTCTATCAACGCTCAACTGAACATTCATAGGGCACAATCGTAATACCTTCCGAACCAAATTTTCTTCCGTAGCTGTCATCTGCCGTGGGCGCCTGCTGTTGCTCTTTTCTGCTGCGTCCATCTTGATGTTTCTTGTGCCTATTCTTGGTGTTAGGGTATTTCTGCTTACTCATGATTGTGTTTCTCTGAAAATTAGTAGTCTGCAAAGCAAACTGCCGGCTCAGATCATCGTAAACAAATTACACGTGCGAAATCCAGAGATCCAGCGTCGGCTGTGGCCGCTGTTGCGGATGCCTTCCAACCGATAGATATCCCAACAAACATCCTCTGCAAACATCAAGTGGTTTGCGTCAGATGACATATAGCGCTATCTAGGCGCCTTGATATACAACAAAATAAATTAATTTGTATAGTTTACAGTTACTCTACGCAAATATAGCTCATTCAAAACCACGTCTTTTTCGAATTTAATAACGTATAATACGACATCTGCATCACAAATTTACATCAATGTAGTTTGTCCAGAAGCGGCTACAAACGTGATACAAGCAGGCAACCGCGGGACGCTTCTGCGAATGCGATATGAATCGCTCCTTTGCTGATTTCGTTGACGTTTGAGCTGTTTTCTGTCGAGTTTCTTGAGTTCTGGTCAATTAAATGTGATTTCGAATGAGCCCAAATGTTTCTAAAGCCTGTCACCCCTTTGCTGTGCACGACAGGTAACGATCGCCTTCTGATCGCACGATGAACATCCCGCAGAAAGGACTGAACGCTTGGACCGCCCATTGCTCTAAATCGAAGATTACTCACAAAATAATTAAGCTCGGAGCTTGTCCTCTAAGATTAGCTTAACATGGTAGTAAGTAAGCCGTCCGGCATAAGGCTGCCGACGTTTATAAACTAAATAGGCTACGTAATCGGCACGTGCAGTCAACGTCTGCTAGTAGCAGACGAAAGTTTTAAGCACGCGGACAAGGGCGAAAAGTATTACATCTTCTCTTTTCCAGTCATACTTGCGGTACTACAGCTGACCTCGGCTGGAAATGTGGCAGTCAGAATTGTTAGGGAGACTGCGCCTTATGGGTGAGTTAAATTTCTGGTCATAGTAATACATTGTATGCCTTCTTGATCAAACTGATCTCTATGAGGCAGGATGATTAATTGAACTGCAGAATCGGTTTGTTAGCTTCACGAGTTATTGTCCAAAAAGAGTTTCATTACCTAGTTGACATATCACTATAAAGCTTCAGCATGTAGGACTACGGAGGTTGCACAAAAACAAAAACAGGCCACTAGTCTGCTCTAAAACAATATTAGTACAGCATGATCGACTGGTATCCACAATTAAAGTTATGGCACTATATTACTGTAAACCTCTCAAATGTTTTTTTTTTTTTTTTTTTTTTTTTAGCATATTTGGAAGCAACTTCCAACTGAATCCACGCGACCAAGTCCTTGTGGCAAAGTCAAAACCCGAAAAATTCGCCGGACCATCACATCTGAAGCGCCTGCTTGGAAAATGCTTCAACTTTTCAACTTCAGAGTCAGTATATATATACTCCACCGCTTAATGTTTTCTTTTTTTTTTTTCTATCTGGTAAGAATAGATTCTGTCTTCTATAGAAACCTGAGCGCAAGGTACAATTTATACACAGCTTGCGAGTGTCGCCATTGCTCGATATTGACGGTTATTTCTACCTACTGGTTTCTTCGAACTATAACCTTTGTGACATGAAACTAACACGGCAAACCAGACGCTCGCAGCGCATTGAATACTGGTATGGCAGCAAATGGTGTCCCATGCAAGTTATGTTTTGTAATATACATATAAAGCATTGGTATTTCTAACAATTTTTTAACTGCAGTATGAGACTTATGACAACAGACACAAAAAAAAAAAGAATTGGTCATTGACTCATAGCTTGCTTGTGTCTTAAATTTCTTCTAATTTTAATTGATATCTGTAAACAATAGTGAATCCTTGGTCCAATCAAAGTACAGGGTGGCACAAGTGGATCTGACACTGCAAAGCAAGCCGGAAAAATCAGTGCTTAGGCATTGAAAGCTCCAAGTTTCACCAAATGTGCACTGAGCCGGCCTGTGTTACCGCGTAAAATTTCAAGGCATACTTTACTTCCTGCAAAAAGTTAGAGCAACAAACTTGACGAAGTCAACGTCGGGCGCATTTGCAGATGACTCGAGTTAGCGACACCATCAACTCGTGGAGCCATCTTCCAATAGGCACATCAAGCAGACGACGCACTCAGTTGTCCACTCACCGTGCCTATAAAGAGATGGCGCCACAAGTTAATAGCATCGCTAACTCGGTCGTCCGCGAACGTGCCCGACGTTGACTTTGGTAAGTTTGCTGCTCTAATTATTTACAGGAAGAGAACAATGCCATAAAATTTCACACGGTGAAACTGACCTGCTCGGTACACATTCGGTAAAAGTTTGAACTTTCAATGGGCAAGCACCGATTTTTCCGGCTCGTTTTACATTACCAGATCCGTTTGTTCCACTCTATAGGGCTGTGCGAAATATCCACAGTGTTCTATTTATTTCTCCTCCTTGTACCTACAGCTACCGTTACACCCTCTGCCCTTTTCAAAACATCACGCAAGTTGAAGACTCTTATCGCTGGAATGCGTACAAGGGGGTACTGGGGTATGTATTGTCAGACTTGTCCAGTATTTATCGTATTAGAGACATGCATTAAAGCAGTTGCAGTGTGAAAGTACCACTGAAGCAAACTAAACAAAAAATACTGCCACTGTAATGTTTGTCAATGCATATCAATGTTTTAGAAACGGGTGCAGACATCATTTCATTTGTTGTTATCTTAGTTACGTTCTCACTCCAAAAAATTCTTCGATAAGTTTTTTTGTAACACTGATTCGAGTGTAAATGCAGCGACTTGACGCCACAGCATTCCGCTTTACTATTGTCACAGGCATAGTTTTGCAGTGTTCTCCATAACTGTTTGTCAATTCAAACAAATATTACGCTTTGCAGCGTGTGGCAAGGTTGGACAATTACCAACGGTACGTTTGCATCGATGATCTATGCTGAAGGCGACTCCTGCGGAGCCAGCAAGCGTTCGGTTCAAGTGAGTCGTTTCAACGTTCCGTACCTAGGCAACTAACGATGCAACCATTTCACAGCCGTGCAGGAAAGTGAATGATAAAGTGCTTTACACACTCTCTAATGCTTTATTATACCACAATGTCATACCATGTTATTTACAGGTAACATTAACATGCGGAAACCACAGTTCTCTCCTCAACGTCAGCGAGCCGGAACGATGTAAATATGCCGCAGCATTTGCGACTCCCTTAGTGTGCAGGGACGATGCGTTGCTCGTGTACCCGAGGCTGAATGCTACATTGAGGCAACGTTGGAACGACGTCGAGAGCCAGCGTTTCAATGACGAGCTCACGCAAAAGGCAAGTCAACCGCGGGTTAATATATAACCCGTTTCTCTCCGGCTACAAGAACCTTCTACTAGCAGTTCACGAGGTATTCCAGGCTACGTTCACAGTTTCTACGCTGATGAACACAAAGTTTAAATTACGTCGAACATTTCATCACGAACCTGTCACTCTTCTTTTCATTATTGTTTTTAGGGCTATGAGAAAGAACTGAACAACATCTTCCAAGAGGCTGGATTTCTCAAGCTACCAAAAGAAGAGTCGATTGTAGCCAAGCCTCAAGCCGCGAGTGACAGCACCAATGATACTGGAAGAGCTCCAACACGGTTGACAGACATTGCCGTCTGCAACGCGGCAAGTTTAAATTGTCCTTCAATAGAAAAGAAAAAAAAAGAAAACAACATATTTTTGCGAGGTTACTCTAGAGACACGATAAAACACTTGTTTTCACATTGGCTACCTGAAGCATGGTACAGGAACGTTTTACGTACACATGGTGGGAACCGTAAGCCATATGTAAGTGTATCTGGTGGAAAACACGTAGGCTTCAAGATTTTTTTTTTCCTGCATCACTTTTTTTCTTTCCTGCTAATCTTCTACCACTTTTTAATGGACTATCTGTTGGTTTCACATCAATGCTACAAGCTATCCAAAGATTGCTCTTGTTAAAGATGAGCAGCACTTGTGAATGTAGTTATTTTGGTTGCCTCACAATAGTAGTAGTAAGGTCTTCCAGTTTTTGCTTGCTTGTTTCATTGCAGCAATTTGAACATTTTTTTGATTCATGTGCAGCAATTTGAACATTATTCTCGTCCAAGTGCAACAAGTGGTACCAAGTTGTTTAGCAGACATAGGTTACAAGATTGCAAGACAGTACTAATACACTTCCTGCGACGGTTTCAGACTCTTTATTGCTCGTGCATTTCAAACATAGAACTGCACCAGTGACACACCCTCTGTGTTTTCAGGAGTACGAGCAACTGCGTGCCGAAGTCGCAAGTCTTCGGATGTCATTAGGTGAGACGATTGTATCGTGCCTCAAATCACATTTAGGTGAAATATGCACTGCCCCACTTAGAAATTAAGAACACCATGTCAAGGCCCGTTCACTCTCTTGCGACCTCTTAGAAGTGGGTGCCTTGAAACCTCTTACGAGAGGACACACTGGCACCATTTATTGGGTAGCGATGTAAATTTGGCAGTTTGGCATATTTCCTATTTCTCTCGCACATTATCCTTCCTTTCTTGGCTCGAAAAACTATTGTCAACGTTGTAAACGAGCCTTTCTTATAGCTATTACGCACATTTGAACTCCGAAATCCCACAAAACCTTCGCTCTTGTGAAATGCAGTTCCAGGGTCACCACATAGATGGCGCCAGAGTGCGAGTGTGTTCTCTCATCCTAGCAAATTTTAAGAGGTTTCAACAGGTCTCGTCTCTCTCGGTCGTACTCAGTTGCAAGAGTGTAAACGGGCCTTTAGATTGACGTCTTAATATGAGAGAGCGATCTAGCTGCACTAAAGAACTCTTTGCCAAGACCCCCCCGGGCAATGCTTTGGTGTTCTTTGTCCCTAAACTTCAAACTGTTTCTTTTTCCTCTCTCTCACTGACAAATGCAGAAAGAGAAAGGGTAACATTTCTAGCTCTGCTCAAACAAAAGACGTTGCCGGTTTAAGCAAACGCCTGTAGCAAAGAACTGTCGTTGAAGCTTTCCCATCTCTTTCAGAAATGTACCAAAGGAGCTCAACGTTGCCGTCAATGCCGCCACCTTCTTGAAACATGGCGACCACCAACGGTCACAAGCTTGTGATATGCGCTAATGCTCAGACTAGTTAGTATATTGAGGAAAGTCATAAAGCCTTATGTCACAATGCCAAGCACAGCTGGGAGTGCCCTATGACGGCGTCGCTTACAACCGCAAGACAGTCTTCGCTGTACAAGAACAACTTTATTGCCAAAGAAATAAAAAAAAAAGTTTTCATAAAACGTCACATTACTGCTGTGTCGTGCTCTGCTTCAGGAATGGCTGGTGTAAAACGTCATAAAGCCGACTCGCCTGAAAAAGAATCAAAACAGCATCTTGTTTGCACACGACACATTACTGTACTCCTACTGTACTATATGTGTGCACCAACTGAAACGGCAGCAGACAAAAGAAGCTCAAACACAAAGCACCGTCATTCGTGTTAGCATGACTGAGGGGTAGTATTTATAAACGAGCACGTGCGGATTTAGTGACGGCAGATGGGTAGCCTTTCGGAAAATTGAAAGTTTGCTCATCTGCCACCAGATTCCACTGATAAGCGAACCTCCTTGTAAATCGCTGGCCGTACTGAGCCATAGGAAAGAAGTACCATATTTTTTGCGGATAAGTCGAGGGTTTGTTGCAAAATTTCCGTCTGTGTGTCTTGTACTGCAAAGGTTCGAGAATGCTCAAAATGGCTCCGGCTTGTGCATACGTCACGAACACAATACACGTGTGCAGGCTTATCAATGCAGTTTTGCCCCGCCGATCGTACAAATGTTTAAGTCTGATTTATACATCAATCTTTTTGTCGAAATGCTCATTTATAGAGGGGTTCATACATGCTTGCAAGAAAGGCTCCCGGGCGCTGCCATTTTGAGCAATGCTGGCGCGACATAACGTTTCTGCCATACTGGGGTACACTAGGGGCACATCTTGGGGTGCACAAGGCCAAGATGGCAGCGTCTGCTGCGTCACCGGCACCCAGCGTTAGCAACACACTTGCTGTTTCGGAATGCAGGGGGAGGTATCCACACAGAATCATAGCATCAAATATTGTAGGAGGGGGTATGTTTACGGTTGAAGCTGACTTTATAATGATCGCAGCCTCTGTTCCAGCACATCGCAGAAGTCAGAGCTGCCGCGAGCGCAGCTGTCATAGATGCAATGGTCACACGGCTTCTGGCGCATTCTAATTAAGCGCTTTGAGACTTCATATATTTTTCTAATTTGTCGATTTGTTACTGGTTTAGGTATTTTATTTAATTATTTGTGCTCTTTCGCGGTCAAAAGCAACACCTGTATGTTTTAAAAATAATTTTTTTCGTCTCTTTCTGCACTCAGTGCTGTATGCTTCAGCATTCAGCAAGAGACGCTTGGCAACATTGTACGACAAGCAGCGAACGTCTTGGCTGGAGAGTAGGTCCGCCTCACCTCGGCGCGCGATTCGAGGTTAAGCTGGGGTCTCGCTTGCAAAGGTGTATAGACCGGAAGACATGGTCATTTTGTACTTCTATATTTCCACAAAACAAATGCACCATCTACTCATACTTTCACGGTAAATTACAAAGTCGGAGTGTGCGAAATAGATTTTCAAGATTAATCTAAAGTGGGTTAGTTCCATTTGGCTCTTGGTGTACTACTACCGCAATCGTGAATGAAGGAAAGTTCGGAGAACAATTTGGTCAGTGGCAGAGCTAAAAAGTGTGTGTCACAAACAACTTTTTTTCCCCAAGTGTAGCCCTTTGTTGTATCAAAGCAGACAGCTTAAACCGAAGCGAGAGTTTTGTTATGATATGAATTGTGCCAAGCAGCTTTAAAAATTAATAACAGCATTTTGGTTCAATATTCGTAATATTTAATTTGGTTGTCTGGTTTCAACATGCCCTAGTTCCGTTCAGTTCTCTTATGCATCGTAACAAACGTGACAATCAAAGAAATGGCCAAACCTTCTGCATTCCCATTCCCGGGTGAAAAGAGAGCTCCTCCTTGCTCGCTTTTGAAATTTTCTCAAGTGTCTAGAAAATAAAGTTTTCTAGGCTTTATCAAACAAGAAACGGAACTTGGAGGCTATCTGCTAGCTCGCCAATTTTTAACACAAAATTCAATACTATGAATGCCCAGAGTTTATTGAAAGTTTTACTCTGAACTAGTCAAAATTTTACGGTTCACTCGGCTCCGTCAAAACAAAATCTGACAACTTTTTGATTATATGATTATAAGTGAATAAGACCTGTCTTGTCATTATAATAAACTATTTGTAAATGAAGCACTTTTAACATTAATGTCTAAATAGGACATCAACACTTTATGAATCATTATCAGTGTTATAATACATCACAACCCCACGTATTTACTCGAACCACGTCTTTTCGATAGTACGTTGCAACTCAAGAAGGTAGGGCGAGGGTAAGGATGGCCCCCCCCCCCCCCCCCCCGGCCCGTCTTACCCTCGCCCTACCTTCTTAAATTACAATGGACTATAGTATACAATTTCGCTATGTATCATAAGCACTTGAACATGACTAAACTGAAAGCAATTGACAAAAAGGTTATTGAGGGCTCACCCCAAATGACGTCAGTAATGTCACAGCATCTGGTCTGTTGATGGATTTCACCGACGACAAGCTGTCAACCAGCTACAACGACAACCAAAGTTTCACCGTCAGCTGAGGACAAACACTACAACTGTCCTTCAGCATAGTGCTCTCATTGTGAACACCGCTGATCGCTACACACTTGAGAAAGTTTACCAGTTAGCAAAAGACACTGTATGCGGAAGCTTAACAATGACACCACGAATGTATATGAAACAGCAAGTATGCCATGTTTTTAGCACTCCAAGCACAATAGACCATATGCAAATGCACAGCACCATCTAGTGGGGTACTGAAGAACATGTTCCGTCTCACCAGTTGGCTTCGGCACAGGCAAAGGCCAGGGTGCGAGAGCATAGTTCTGAAGAATCCTTCGCTCGCACAAGCACTTGCGCAGAAGAAAAAGCGCTTTCAGAAACCAGGCGCCCGCGCCTTTGCTGGCACTTAAAGCCAAATTTCGAGCTTATCTGTACATCCGCCGTGCTCGTTAATGCGCAAGAAGAGCGTAAAACAATACTAACGCTTAGCTCGCAGGTGTGGGTGAGGATCGATGAGAGTGAGCAGTAAGCCTCGATTGTTACCCACAACACTACAAAATTTACAAACAGCAGAGGAATCTTGACGCAACAAAGATAGCAGCCCATGGAGTGTTGCCAGACGTTCAAACAATTTCGCATATGGCCTATTATCAATGCTTGGTGTCCTAAGAAAAACTATAAACTAAATTTCCTTTTTTTTTTTTTTTTGTATCAACATACTGCAATGTTTTTCTGAGTCTTGGAAGGTAGCCAGAAAAACAGAAAGAAGAAACAAACATTTTATGATTACTAATTGGCCTTAAACGCCGAAATCATTGCAACTGCTCCGATCGTAGAGCCACCAACTGATACCTTTCCAAAGACGTCATCTTCCGATTTCTCCATGAGCAGATCTGCAGACTTGGATTCGAACACCTTGTAGGTTTCTATGTGCCTGCCGGCCTCCTCAGCGCTGGGCGTGACAGAACGGAACAAACATTCTGTAAACAAGCACGCACGTGACGAAAGAAAGGTGCCGACTCGCTCACCTCCAAGCCAACATTAGCGTGCACTCGCCCATGATCGAAATTTGGGACAGCTCTCGTAGTGCCGAGTGGGGATCAGACTGAAAACGTTTGATGGGACCAGCAACGTGTGAACAAGGAAAGCCACCACACTCTGCAAAATTCTAGCCTGTGGCTGATCATAAGAATGACCCAGTAATGGGCATGCACAATTAACATGGCAGACGCAAAGAACACCTGCCTTCCTGTAACACAGCCAAACACACAATATGCACATAATCATTGCTGTAACATTTACAAATCAGGCCTGTGTGCTTCTTGCATGGAACCAAGCAAAGAGCCAATCACTAAGATTTATGAATGAAGTCCAGAAAATGTGCTCTGAAAAGGCAATTCACGCTCGATCCTTGGCACATGAACTAACTGCGGTGCTCAATTTCGTGGAACATGCGAGAATGTTGTCTCTGCTTCGTGATTCACTATGCACCCTTTGTGGTTCACTCTACTAAACCTCCACACACCTTACAAGTAAGCAGATGCATTGCCTCTGCCCATATAAACAGTACTGCAATTTCTGAGCATGACATATGTGGCACTTCCCAAACGTACGGCAACTTGGCACGTGAACAACAGCAGCCCCTAGGCACCACTAAAACTATTGCAACATTCCCACCGACTTCGCCAGCATGAACGCGAGCAAGCAGGACTCTCAGAGGCAAACGTGCAGGCGCATCAGTTTATGCACCCAACAAACATGCATGAGTAAATGTGCAACAGCTTGTACTTACGAACTTCAAGAAAGATACAGCTAAAGTTCCAGTACCACAAGTTTGGATTCTACAGCAACAACAAAGGAGCATGGTCTACCTACCGCGTCGACTTGGACGAGCAGAATGCGGACCTCAAACGACTTCCCAAGCGACCTCAGCCGCTGGTGAATGTAGTTGGGAAACAGGTTGTAATACCTGAGGCTAGAACAGAAATAAATCGTTGGTATGCACTGCTGCCACGACAATGGCCACACAGACTGTTTGCTTGCAAACACTTGAAAACAAAGTGGTTGTATACAGTGTTGCACGGCTAATCACTTCAACTGATTCCGTCCAGAATAGCTCAGCACGTCTCATCCTAAGTGACTATCAATGTACTGCCAGCGTTACTACTATTAAAATCTATTCAGGTCTGCCATTTCTAGTACACTGCCGTAAAACCCTTCATAACTGCACCTTTTTCTTTTTTTTCCATAAAATTTTTTGTGAGAACACTGTACTTTGTCATGAATTAATAAATCTACCATCTTACATCTTTTTTTGCATTGATCATAGTCATAAGGTTGATCTTCCTCATTTTAAAACACAACTTTTTCAATATTTTGTTATATCCCAAACATCAAACGAGTCTTCCCACTTCGATCGCTAACATCACCAATATTGTTTTGTTCTCTTAATAGGGCTGAGTGCCGACTAAAAATGTTTACCCAATAAATTATTTGATTAATTGGTTTTGCTCATTCTCTTGCATAATAGTTTAAAAAAGTCAAAATTACATGTTTTTTTACTTTGCTGAATATGTAATAAACAGCGCAATGTACAACTTCAGATCTTAAATCAACCTTCAAGGTAGTTGAGAGCAGTCAAAAGACACCTGGACTCGCAAATTATTACTTCAAGTGTACAAATAAACAAGTTTGTAGATATTCTCTGACAATATTTCACAACAGTCTCTGCTGTGCTAAGCGGACACTTGCATGGCGTGCAAGTGGCTGGGCCACATAGCATTCTCCGCTTGTTTGTAGTTACAAATCTCACCCCCTACAGTTTACTTTAGGTCGAAATGTTCCCTAAAGCTCGCCTTAATACAGGTGTTCTCGATTGTTCATGTCCACATGGTGAAAGCATTGCATTTTTACCTTTTTTTTTTTTTTTGTTAGTCTAAACTTAACCTAACCGGTTTAAATAATTGTGATAAAAACATTTTTTCATTAATCGGTAGGTTAATCTATCAACTGCCCAGCGCTAGCTCTTTCCAATATGTAAACTTGGTAATTGTTTTTCTTTTTTTTTAATCACACTCCCCTCTTTATTGTGCTACCTTGAGGGCATTGTAAATAATATTTTAAAAAATCAGTACGGAATAAACCATTTACCTGAGGTAGAGGGCGCATGTGCTCTGACCCATGATGTAATCTGGCTCTATGTCTCCAAACTCCCAGGGCACGTTACGAATGTGCTTCAACAGTGGATTTCCTTTCTGCAACAACAACCAGACAAACGAATTCTTTTAAGGCTGTGTCTACAGTGCCGTCCGACGGCACTCCAATCGCGCCTACAAGTGCCGTCCGAAAGAGTCGGACGGCGCGTGTATCACTGGGGAGCTCGTTAAGCCACCCCCCCCCCGCCTGCGTTCACGCCGCGTCGCGGCGACAATCTGCGGCTGCTAATTACAAAACTATTGACCTATTTGACCCCGTCGTACACGCCGCTTCACTGGTCCAACCGGCAAACCAAGCCCCTCTGTACCCCAAGCACCTCCGGAAACGAAGTCCCATACCATTTCGGTCAGCAAAACTCCAGCGACAACATTCGTTTGTTCCTGTGTTAATCGTAAAAAAAATAAATGTAAATATAGCCAAATGCGTCGGCAAAATAAAATGTCAGAGAAAACAAAAACAAAAAAGTATGCCCGCACTGGGGATCGAACCCGGGATCGCTTGCTTATGGGACAGACATCTTACCACTACGCTACACTCCGCTTCGAAAAGTTTGTTTTCAGAACTCGTTTTAAACGAGACTTTCGGAAGGCACTTGAACGCAAGTGGAGTACCGTTAGACGGCACTTGAACGCTCTGCAAGAGTGCCATCGGACGGTACTCTAGACACTACATTCTTTTAACATTACTAGATACGCTGCAACTCAGGTTTCAAGGGACACCGATATGAAGTTTAGTCGAAGTTCCTGCTGTCTTATTGCCAAGAGAAGACAGTTGAGATTTACATACTTAAGAACAATTAAAGGCTGTTTTTTTCTTTTGCTCTCAGCCAACATTGAAGACCTGTCATTTTTTATTGTGCATTTGCTTGATTGGTTTTACCTGTTTATCAACAGTATCACCCGACATCCCACCTTTCAAAGAAGCTATACGCACTGACCTGCCTTGCACTCACGATGATGGTGTTGGTCTTTGTTGGCGCCTTCACCGGTGATTCTGGAGTCCTTCGAAAATTGAAAGTGAATACATGAAATGATTACTCGTTCATTTGCATTTCAATTATAGATAGATAGATATAAACCTTCATCATTATGAAGGCTAATAGAACAGTACTGGTGCATATGTAGCAATTGTCAGTACTTATTACGAACACGAACTGCCTCAAGAATCGAGCAGTTCTTTTTAAACTGATTTAATTTTCTCTGCAAGAATGGATCAACAGACAAATGAAAGCATACTTTTCGGTCGAAGCATGGGTCTGCACGTTGTCTTGGGGTTTAGAGACGCCGGCTGACCCTAGGCTTGCAGGACTTGGGGTGTTCGATACTTTTGGCGCCGATTCTGGCTGGACAGCATTTTGACCGGGTTCGTTCGAACCGCCAGCTCGGAAATACTTCCTGACCTGTAATGCCAATCAACGTAACCGTGAGACGTGCGGCTTCTATTCCTACCGGCTACATACCGTTCAGAGCAAAGTACAGGGTGTCACAAAAGAAAATTTACACGGTCTTTTTTTATCGCAAAAATAAACTAGCTAGGCATCGCCGAACGCTCATTCTCCGCCCAAAGGTAGAGCTAGAGGTCACAACCAGATGCCAAAGTTTCAGCCCGATCCAATAACTTAATCAAAAGTTATAAGTGATTTTCTGAAAAGTTCAATGGGAAAATGGAGCCCATTTTTGCCTGTTTTCGGTTTCTGGTGCCATAGAGCCCCATGTGTATGAAAACTCCGTCGGTTGCCATTTTCCCATTGAAATTTTCAGAAAACCACTTATAACTTTTGATTAAGTTATCGGATCGGGCTGAAACTTTGGCATTCGGTTGTGACCTCTAGCTCTACCTTTGGGCGGAGAATGAGCGTTCGGCGATGCCTAGTTTATTTTTGCGGTAAAAAAGACCGTGTAAATTTTCTTTTGTGACACCCTGTATATCTAGGACTACAGTTTTCACAAAGATCATCTGCTTGTTTTGTTTCTTTGAAAAAACCATGGGACAGTTGATGAAGTTCATGATTATCTCGCGAAGGTTCAAAAGCTTCTTAATTCGGCGCCAGATACGACTGGCCTGGCAAATAAAACAAAACAAAAATAGCGTGTAATGTCTTACCGATACGTGTTCTTCCTCTTCAAGGCTGTCGAGAGTTGGCACTGCGAACTGCTTTGCCATTTTTGTAGCAATCAGACTCCTAGAACAGTTTTATACCACATAAATTTCTACTGTAGCGCACAGGCAGCTTCCAAACCACGTTCCAAAACACATTCATTATGCTCTTTAAGGGTGTGTTCATTTATTCAGTTCCATGGCTACGGACCGACCACACCGTGAGACCGACGGACCAACAAGCTCGTTGGCCGCGTTTCATGCTCTACAAAGTTACGTTTCTTCATTCAAGAAACGAAAGTATGTAGGTTAGTTGGTTAGAAAACATCATAATCTAAACTCTAAGACACGGAGAAATAAAAGAACAAAAAAGATTGATGACGTCAAAAGCTGGGTAGTAGTCGTAGTAGTCAACAAAACGAATGCACTGACGTACAGTCACATGACCTCAATATTTACATTTTACAATCATGGCGGCTCCCACGAAAGTTGCGGTGGAACTTTTCTACGATGTCATTTCACCGTACTCGTGGCTCGCGTTCGAAGCACTTCACCGCTACCGAACTCCCTGGAACCTCGACCTCAAGTTGAGGCCGTTCTTCCTGGGCGGCGTCATGAAGGAATCGAACAACAGGCCACCGGCCATGGTGCCGAACAAGGCGGCGTACATGCAGGCCGACCTCCGAAGGTCATCCAAGCTCTTCCAAGTCCCGATCAAGGTTCCGGACTTCTTTTTCGAGTTCATCACGACCAAGTCCACGATAAATGCGCAACGTTTCTTGGTGGCGCTCCAGCTGAGACAGCCGCAGTTTCTCGAAGAGGCATCTAGGGGATTCTGGAAGCGTTTCTACCAGGACAACAAGGACATCGCCGAGGAGGACAGCATCGCGGCCGTAGGCCAAGCCATCGGTATGGACGCGGCCACGTTGAAAGAAACGCTGGGCCTCATGAAGGATGATTCTGTTAAAGAGGGTCTCAAGAAGAACACGTCGGATGCTGTTGATGTTTACGGTGCTTTTGGTGCTCCCACCATCGTAGCGCATGTCCCTGCCCAAGCGAAAATTTTCAACTGGGACCAGTTGGTCCCAGTTGCAACTGGTTTATGGAACAATTCCCAGTTGCAACTGGTCCCAGTTGGAGTCGTCCAACTGGGACCAGTTGGTCCCAGTTGCAACTGGTTTATGGAACAATTCCCAGTTGCAACTGGTCCCAGTTGGAGTCGTCCAACTGGTCCCAGTTGGAGTTGGTACCAACTCCAGCAACAATGAAACACGGCACAAAATGGAAGGTTGACAAGACTTTATTGTCAAAAACTTGGAGAATGAAACTAAATAGGTTCGGTGACGTACACGCTCCGGGTTTAGCCACTTGCTTGCGACGGTTGAATCGCTTTTTCAGAGGTGGTATTCATGAGATGAAGATCGGCCGCTGGCGTCTGTTAGTGAAGACGTCCTTAGCTTCTCTTCCCATCGCGTGAAGAAAGGTGCTCACCCGTGATCCTGCGTTGCGCAGGTGAAGTCCTGATAAGATGCGGTAGCGCTCCCACCTTGCAATCTCTGTCACAACAGTCGAACATTTTCGAGGTAGACCTCCCGCCATTTTCGCCATTGTGCTCTCCGCGGCGTGTTCTCTTCCGTCCGGTCTTTCCTGGGTGCCCTCCGATCGCTGAACTGCATCATTCCATCCTCGAAGTTCACCGCCGCCACCATGGCGTGTGTACGGTTAGGTCCAAAGAAGCGCAGGTGTAGTTTTGACATTTTCATAACGACGCCAACTTGGGCGATGGCGACCCCAGCGACCCTTCCCTACCGCGTCCGTCCGACTCCGGCGTCAGCATAGGCAGCGCCATCTGTCGACAGCGCGTACCACTAATCCGCACCCGCGTGCCACGGCGGCCGGCTAGCTCTGATTAGTCAAAAGATAAATTTATTTATTAAAGAAAAAAAATACTGTTGCTATTTAAATAAATGTTTTAATATATTTTAATAATGCACTAAATGTTCATTTAGGTGAACACATTTTGTCACTAATTATATTTTCCAATTAAAAAAATATTTAGTTAATTAAAATTTTTATATTATTTTTATAAATATATAAATGTACCCCAGTAATTAAAAATTCCCTATTTGTATAAATCTAAAAATGTTAGTGTTTTTAGTTTTCTTCATTAGCAAAGGTCAATACACCCCCAACTTGTCCAAATTGTTGCCCAATGTTAACTGGGAATGGGAAAGGCATTTGAAGCTCGACTGGGAATCGCTCCAACCAGTTACTTTCCTAACTGGTTCCAGTGCACTCCATTCCCAACTGGGAGTCAAACCAGTTGACTCCCAACTGGGAATGGTTCAAACCAGTTGACTCCCAACTGGGAATGGTTCAAACCAGTTGACCCCTCAGCTGGCCCCAGTTGGACTCCCATTGGTCCCAGTTGATTCCCAGTTGGGACCAGTTAGTCCCAGTTGCTTCCCAGTTGGGACCAGTTAGTCCCAGTTGAAACCAGTTGAGGTGCCAACTGGTCCCAGTTAGAAATTTTCGCCTGGGTGGTGGAAAGCCGGAGATGTTCTTTGGTAGCGACAGGTTTGAACAGATGGCTTGTGTCCTCGGAAAACAGTGGCACGGGCCCGTACTACCTCAAGGTGCCAAGCTGTAACGGGGGTGGCCACGCTGTCCATTACCCTCCGGTTTTGTTACCTTGTTAAAAAGAGGAAGATCCCCATTGAAGTGGGTACAAAAATGCTCAAATAAGCCTGTGTAAATTGTTCTTGTTGAACACCTCTTATGGGGCATATTGAATATGTTTGCAATTGCTGTAGTGCCTCACTCAGTTTTGACGAACACACAATATGCTGGGAAAATTGGTGATAGAATAGGGAGCAACAATGTATGGTCACTCTGCAGATTACTTGAAAGCTGACAAACTCGATACTAAACGGGGCTGAAGAAAGTATGCTCTCCTGTGATCGTTATTCCGTTTGTTTGGGTTACATTCGATGATTGGATATTCCACCGTCTTGTGAGCTGCTTGACCTCGGTATTATTTGAAAATGCCATTTTAGTCGTAAATACAAGAGAAACGTGAACGAGAAAAATGCATGACAGATCCCCCAGCCTAAGTACAGAAGAGCTATCATATTGTGTACCTGCTTTCATCGGAAATAGCAAATACGTTAAAATTAAGCAAATTAACAAAACATTAAACAATGGTTACATGGAAGAAAGTCAATAAGTGGGAAATGAAATGTGCATAGTTTTGCAGCACTTATTTTTTTTTTTTTTTTTTTGATACAGCATAGCATGTGTATTATTAAAACTGCATAATTACGACCAAAGGGAAAGTTGCAAATGATGTTGTATTTTAATGCTTATGTTAATTGTTTTATCCAGAGTTTATGCATGTCGTGTAGTAGGGTATAGAGGTATAATATTGAAATTCTGTAAAGTCTGGTACTTTTTACTTTAAGAAAGCCTGTGATACGATATAAAAGTGTACGATTTAAATGGTCTAAATCTAATGACGCTCTGTTGCAACTCTACGCACAAGCTGCATAGGCGCACGTGGGGGTTTATATTTGCGTGTGATGTCTGCAACTAAACAAGATATCAATTGATTAAAGTGCAGAAATTCCCACTAGCATATAAACCTTGTGCAAGGAATTGCTTCTCTTGCTTTTATGCAATGTTACTCTCTTATATTGTAATAAAAGTATTTCTTTTTATAAAGGTGGGTGATCCATTAGCAACTATGTTTGTTAGCAAAAACGGCAGTCACCAAAGGTCGTTACAATGTTATACCATGTAACTTGTACCAACAGATATTATGTAGCAAGAGAATCTGTTGGCACAACCCCGTTCTCTGAAACGGTCGTTTCACTATCTGCATTGGCAGTCTGTACCGTCCTGGGGAATTTACAGAGAAAAAACCCATACCTCAAAACTACCCACTCATGAAAAGTGTTTTATCCAAAGAAGCTTTCAGCCTCCGACGTTCTGCTCGGAGGCTAAGACTTGGAGGTACTGAGCCGCTAGCTAACCACTGCCGAGCTGTTGGTTTGCCTTTCCCATCCGAGGAATTTCTATTGCACATGGACACTTGTAGTACATTGCACATCTAGTCTACCACCATCCAGTTATCGTCTGTCCACACGCTCGTGTTTGCCAATGACAGAGTTCTCTCGATCCTTTACGAGAAAACATGGAGGTACGCTGCTGCCATCTATGTGGCAACCCTGGAACTGCATTTCACTAGAGCGAAGGTTTTGGCATATTCGTGAGATTAAATGTACACACCGTTTCTGAGAAATGACCGTTCATGACATGGTCAAAAGTTTCTCAAGCCAGGAAGGAATGATACACACAAAAGAAATAATAAAAACGTACGGTAATGCCACGCAAGTCACAGCTATCCGCTCGTGTTTTCTCCTCGTAAGAGATCCCGAGGAATTAAAGACTATCTGAAAAGGTTCCTGAAAAAAAAACGAGTTAAAGGTAAATTCTAGGTTGTTATTATTTAATGCGATAGCATTATCTGTTTCATGAAGCGAGCTGACGTCATCAGTTTGAAGCGCAAAAACGGCTCCTGGTTTTTCGCCTTCGGTCCCATTGGCTGGCGCGCGTTGACGGGTGACCGCTGCACCATGGCCTCCAAGAACCCGAAGCGCGCGCGCGCTAGTACGCAGCAGACGACAAAGGGAGCGGACGAGCATATGACAGGGAGCAGACGAGCGGCTTGCATGCTTGCGCATTCACAGGTGTAGCTCGAGCTTTGTTTCTGTGAATTTGAATATCACGTTTGTTTTCCCCGAAAATGTATAACTAAACGCCAAAGGGGGTCTGACCGGTCGTTGCGTCATAAAATGGATCTTTCGGCCGCCCAGTGCGTGTTGCTCGTGTGGGCAGCTTGCCAGGTATATTCCCCCGCACCGACACCGGTCCCGTCTTTTCCTGACCTTTCTGAATATAGCGAGAGTGTGCATGAAGATGCGCGAGAGCGGAAATTTCAAAAATTCCTTTTATGCCACAACGCTCTGGGAAGGAAGGGCTTCAGCGGTACTTTGAAAACGATTTTCTACAGCCTTCATGTACCAAATTGAAAAAGTAATCTCAATATTTGTGATCCTGGAGGCCAAATGGAGACAATTTAAGTGTTTTTCCTTGTTACAAAGAGGTTGAAAAAGGGGTTTCAAGTCATGTGAACCAGCCTTTATACCAACGTTGGCTACAGCTCGTTTGTGTGTTGTAGCTCCTTTCTCTGAAACTGCACGCATTAAACAGATACAGAACACACCACAGCATGAACAAAAATTTTTATTTTTCTTCCTAGAATGAAAATGTTGCTATCAAAACTCGTCTTGCGGAAAGGGCTTGTTTTGGCGTTAATCCAAGCGGCCAAGTTTTCAACTCGTCTGTACTCTGCAAACCACGAAAGGGCATCCTCACCAAGCCCCTCTTGGTGCACAGCTGCATAAAGCATGTATAGTTATGCAACAGTACATGTTCTGTGTTGTCTACTGACCAGCCCCACCTTTGCCCGTTTCGATCTGGATGAGCATCGTACCGGCGTGCGGTCGTGGATCACTACTGCGTGGTGCACGTTAAAGACCCCAGGCTAGTGGTTGTAGTGCACTGGCTAAATTGCTCATCTACAGCTGGGAGACTCGTCGCCCCTGTGAGGCAGACCAAGTACTAGGCTGTATAAACATACACACAACCCAATTTTTTTTTGTCTACTGACCACCTGTCTTGCAGACCCGTCACAACTTCAGAGAAGTGGCAACAATGATTTTTGGCCACCAAGGCCAAAACTTCAAGATGCTTTTATAGAACACATAGAGAAGTATTAATACCTAGGGGTATGGCTGAATTAGGGAAAACAATACTTAGAAGAACAGGAAGAAAATCTTACAGAAAGCAAAAAGGAATGCAGCAATCATGAAGCATAGGGCAGCATGGAATTACAATATAGTATATGAAGTTGTTAGGGAATATAAAAAGGAGCCATGGTGCCGGTGCTGCTTTTTGGCAATGCGGTATTATGCATGAAATCTGAGGTCCAGTCAAGCTTAGAGACCCGGCAGAGGACAGACAGGCAATGGAGCTGCATGGAAATGCATCTAATGAAGGAGTGCAGGGAGGCATGGGCTGGGCATCTTTGGAGGCTAGACATGATTGAGGATACACGATAGGCGAGAAAGGTATATAAGCATCTATATGTGGAAAGTTTGAACACTAAACAGACACACTGAACTCAAAAACTGAAATTCAAATACCAACAGTCAAGCGCTAGGGCAGAGCAGACTAGAGCACTGCACGGGCTCGGGCCGGCCCGAAAGCCCGGGCCCGGCCCGGCCCGCGGGCCGGGCTCGGGCCGGGTAGCACGTATTTTTTAGGGCCCGGGCCGGGCTCGGGCTTGAAAAAAACATTTCCGGGCCGCGTCGGCCCGGGCCGGCCCGGGCCGTGCCTGGTCGGTCGTGTGCCGTAAATTTTAAATTGTTAACAACAATAGAGGAGTATCTACACGGCAAGAAAGACTACTCGTGCTCACGACTCGAGTGTCTGAGCTTTGTGACTTCTGGAGAGCGCACGAGAAAGAATTTCCGAAACTGTCCATTCTATCCAAACGCATCCTGTGCATCCCTGCTACAAGTGCTAGCAGCGAACGGAACTTTAGCGCGGCGGGCTACATTATGCAAGCGAGACGGACCTGCCTGAAGAGAGAGTCCATGGACAATTTATTGTTTCTCCACAAAAATATGTAGGAAGGAAATTTCTCTTAAACGAATTGAATAGAACAACGAAAAGTACAACATATCTCTTCAATAAATTTATAAATAAAAAATTCCCCACTTGTGTCTCAAGGATTGTCGGTGTGCCATGAGTTCAAAGACTGCCGAAAATGATGCGCATATTTCACCCATACTCTCGACAATACATATTCTAAGTCGACATATTTATGGTATAAAAAACTAGATCCCAGTTTTCCAGCTCGGGCCGGGCTCAGGCTCATATTTGAAAATGTTATCGGGCTCGGGCCGGGCCCGGGCCGTGTCTCTACCGGGCCGGGTCGGGCCGGGCCTAGAAATAAAATATTCTGTCGGGCTCGGGCCGGGCCCGGGCCGTGTCTCAACCGGGCCGGGTCGGGCCGGGCCTAGAAATTCCGGCCCGTGCAGTGCTCTAGAGCAGACTACCTCTGTGAAAAAGGTAGGAAAAGCCGAGAGAAAGATGTGCGAGGAAAGAATGCAGGGACAAAAACAGAAAGTAAAGAAGGAACATTGGTATGATAATTCAGAGGCGAGCTCGTTATTCAAGGCAAGAACAGGAGTATTGAGGACTAGGACATTTAGGACAAAGTATGACGATATGAATACGCAGTTTGTCGTATGAAAAAGTGAAGACAAGACAATAGAACTTGTGGTGTTCAGGTGTACAGGGCTTGCTCCCGCCCTCCCAGAGGGGGCGATGGATTTAGCTGGAGGGCTGGGGTTTGCAGACGAGAATGGAAGAATGGATAAGTGCATTTCAATAACAAAGAGGAAATTGGAAGACTGGTGGAAATTATCCAAAGAGAATTGAATGACGTACAACTGACACAGCTGGGGACAGGCGGGACAGAGGAAAATTGGGTAACGCAGACTAGGTTTCACAAGAGGAAACTTGGCAACTCCCTTGCCAGGGGAAAGAGGCAGGGGGGTGTTCAGTTTTTTTGCCCAATCCCCTATACAGTCTAAGCTCATTACAACAGACCTGGTTACAACAGACATTTGGATATAACATGCCGATTTGTGAAGTTTGGTTGATTTTCGTCTACATACCATTGACTCAACTTCATATCTGCATACAACATACTCCTTTTACAACAGACCGAAATCTGTCAAAACCAAGGTCTGTTATAATGAGCCGAGACTCTAGGTCATCCTGGTGATATCCCATATTGCCTGGTGAGTTACGAAACTGCAGAGGGTAAGCAAATTGGAAAAGGAAAGAAATTACACATTTGGTTCTAAATTTCTAGGCTAGGTGGTGCAAGCTTCCGCCTGTTATAAAGGGTGCAGCTGTTAGCATCCATCCATCCAGGCTGAAGCCGTCATTACTCCAGCACATAACTATATTGAGCAGCTTGGAAAAGTATGAGATGTTCTGCAAGACAAAACACGGAAGGCCAAAGAATCAAAATCGAGACGGTCGGCGTACAAAGTCAGTGCCAGGTTTTATTCACAACTCGTTCTCGCCCGCATGACCGACAGCATTCTTGCGGTTCAACTTTGGTGACGGCGGCGCTGCTTTTTGGCGTTGCTCTCCCCGACCCTTGGTGGCAACCGTTTCAAGTTTGCGATTCTGAATTGTCACTTGCAACATTCACGCAGAAATCCGCTACCCTGCCACTCCCCTATTGCCACGATCTCTCGGTCCACCCTTTCGCGCAAATGCGACTCCATTCCACGGGAAACCCCGGGAGTTACAAAGCAACACAAAAAGGATTCGGAGGGGGGGGGGGGGGAAGACAAACATGCGATATACTAAATAAAAAATAAAGCCAGCTCATACTTACGCACGCAATATTTCTACCAAAGATAAACAACAAAGAAGATGCCGTATATGTAACTGCTATGTCACCGCCGCCTATACTCCGTACACCTGCTTAAGCAGTCCCAATACGTCTTCCCTCGCAGGAACCAACACAGAGCTTTAGAAACCAAACTTGCCACAGAGTTCGACACCAATTCCATTACAAAGCACACTTGCCATTCTTACGTAAAGTCAAGAAAAGAAATGCCCGTCTCCAAACTTGCACAGACATCAGTCGGCACCCTGTGGCAAGCCGGCCCAGAATTCACTGCCGAGGTTTGGTCGCTAAAGTCGGGCCGATGACGGCACGGCTGTCTCAACTCGATTTCAAACGAGTGCCTCCCAAACAACACACAACATGGGCTGTTCGGGGGACACTCGTCGTTGGCTGCCCACAAGCGGCCGATAGGGCGCAGATGTGTAGCCTATGTGCTGCCGACGTGTGGCCGACATCAGTTCAACCATAGCGACATCGGCACAAGGCCTTAAACTTTAATTTCCTGGTCCCGCATTGTGTGCTATTTGGGAGGCACTCAACGTCGGCTGTTTAGACTAAGCCAACGTCTAGCCGATGTTTGCGAAGAGCCGTGCCGACGTCGGCATATGACCGTCACGCTTGTTCGGCAGTGAACTCCAGGCGGCTTTCATGCGGCTCAAGCCGAGTTCCACGCTTACATTTCACGAGCACCTGCTGAAGGATGTTGGCAGCACAGGAGTTGCACACACAACTGCTAGAGCACTGATGTGAAGATGAGTTGAAATAATAAAGAAAAACAAACTGCAAAGTGCTTCCATCTTTTACCTTTTGAACGGGTGAGGGGGGATAGAAGGGCAAAGACAAATGGAGAGGATGGCAGCAAACTGTACAAGTACCCTATCTCACCCTCAATCCCCTCCCCAAAGACCAGAAAAAAAAACAAGGTGATGTGCCAAGACGACAAAAGAAGATACTTTTTTTTTTTCTTCACCGTGACCACTCAACCACGCTTGAGAGAGACAAAATCATGACAAGGTCAGAGACTCGATGCAACACTGAGATTGATCCCGCCCCATTGTTACCCAACTGAAAAACAAGTCACAAACAGGAGAAGCGGCCGGAGACTCAATCTCGTTGCAGTTCAGCAGAGGCCTCGACCGTGCTGGTCTTCTAAGAACTAGGCTGGGAGCTTCAGCGCCTTTCCCTTGATCACTGCGTCAAAGAAAAAAAAAAAAAAGAGTAAGTCACACAAGGGACATGCCGGCTCAAGCGCTCCTCCTGAATCCCGAATTTCCCATTTGATGAAATGCGAGACCACAACTGCAGCACAGTCTCCATGTTAAAAATAAAGCAGGGACGGCGAAAAAAAAAAACTCTTTCAGAATGCATTTGTTAACGGCAGTATGTTCATGGTGAAATGACAGCACACATTCTAGTCACTGTTGGGAAACTTGCCATATAGTGTATGTTAAAACAGTGGATTCTATATAAATAAGTTCCATGGTATATAGCAAAAACATTTGACACAACGAAAAAGAAATTGGCACCGAAAGTTTGCACTTGGTGACGAGGCACCAAAGTTTGGTACGCTCCGTAAATGTCCGGTGACACTAGTTGTGTCGCTATGTTGCCGACAATCAGTTCACTTAACCAACATCCAGCAACTCTATAGACCGTTTTATCGTGGGAAGCGCCATATTGAGAGCGAGAGAGAAAAGGGGAAAGGGCTACCGGCGCTTTCCCCCTTTCTGATTGTGTAGAAAGAGTAAAAGTCCCGGATGAAGAGGCTTGGCCGGTGTTGGGTGTCTGCTGTGCCCCAACATCTTTCGCGCTTTCTTTTCTGTTTTGAACTCGCAAACTTAATTAGAGCCAAGGGCTTCGATGGCAACAGTCCCCCGGTCATTGGGACACCATTGCTCGGTCATAGGGTGCACGAATAACGACAGAAAGCGTCGAATACCGCCCGAGGACCTATGTAGCTTGTAAGGAATTCGGCAAGGCACGTGCGGCTGCAGTGTTTTGGAGCTCCACCGCTTTCCGCATGACTGGAAATGATGAACCATTCATAAATTTTTGCTTGCAATAGGCCCATCTCAACGCAGCCGTTTTTAGTAATGAACAAGCGATACACGAAACGGGAACCTCAATTAACTTTTGTAAACACCCGGAGCTGCTACAGATCGTTTTTCTGCGCTGCTTTTATCTTGCGTGTCCGTGTTCTTATATTTCCTTGTGGGTGAACGACGAAGATGTTCTAGATGTGCTTATATCGAACCGCAGAAAGCGTCAAAGCAGCCACAAATTATTTTACTATTTGATGAAATATTTTGAGTACTAACCTCCAATTTCTATCACTGACACGTTCGCTGCCGCTGTTCCCCCCGTTGCCACACTGGCGGATGCCATGACTCGAACAAAGAAACGTACACACTGGGCTCGAAGACGCAGATCGCAACACACGAGACGTACCCTGGAGCGACTATCCAGCGCTTCAAAGCGCCCAATCAACGGAAACAACCCAAACAACCCACCCGCGGAACTCCAAGGAGCGCTTTTGTCGGCTCTGGTATCGCACAGGGGATCGCTATTCAGGAAAACCGATAGAAGTACCTTTTCAACAATTTCTAGCCTCACCCGGCGGCGGAAATGAGCCTTCAACTAAGTATTGTAAATGATGAAATCGAGTCAGTCACCACTGCAAATTATCAATATTAAGATAAATTCAGTTACAAAATTTTACAAGCTGAAACAGCAATTATCACGAGAAAACTGGCACGCACCTTGCAAGCGTACCCCATGTTCATCGGCGGTACAGCGTTCGGTGCGCGCTCCATTCACAAGCTGTTCCGAGCACAGTCGAGAAGATGGTGTTGAGGAAATGTCTTTTCGGTTTACGAACGCAATCCACTGCCGCCAAGACCGGGGTCATGTGGAAAGCGATTAAAGACATTGCAGCCGCTCTCGCCTTGCCGGATTCCATGCAAGCTACATAGGTCCTCGGGCAGTATTCGACGCTTTCTGACGTTATTCGTGCGCCCTATGACCGAGCAATGGTGTCCCGAAGACCGGGGAACTGTTGCCATCGAAGCCCGTGGCTCTAATTAAGTTTGCGAGTTCAAAACAAAAAAGAAAGCGCGACCGAAGTTGGGGCACAGCAGACGCCCAACACCGGCGAAGCCTCTCATCCGGGACTTTCACTCTTTCTACACAATCAGAAAGGGGGAAAGCGTTGGTAGCCCTTTCCCCTTTTCTCTCTCGCCCTCTTTCAGTAAAACGGTCTATAGTCTGTTGCAGCCTAAGAACGAAGGGCGAGGGTAAGACGGGCCGGGGAGGAGGGAGCAGACGGAACGCTGGAAAAGAGAGGGGAAAACCTCCTTCTCTCTTTAGCGTTCCGTCTGCTTCCTCCTCCCCGGCCCGTCTTACCCTCGCCCTTCGTTCTTAGGTTGCAACGGACTATAGTTATGCAAACATGGTGCAAACGTTTGGTTGGTTACTCCACTAACGACGAGTGACGCTATTTACGCCAACATATCGCCTATGTTTGGTTTAGTCCATGAACATCCAACAACTCTAGCTATGCCGACATGACAGCGAGGTTTGCTTTAGTCCACCCACATCCGATGACTCCAGCTATGCCGACATGATGCCAAAGTTATTTCAACATGGTGCAAAGGTTTGGTTTACTCCGCTAGCATCGAGCGACACTAACTTATACCGACGTGACACCAATGTTTGGTTTAGTCCACCAACCTCCAGCAACTCTAGTTCTGCCGACGTGTTGCCAAGGTACTGCCGACATGCTGTCATTCCACTAGCGCCCGGCAACTCAAATTAGACGGAAACGATGCCAAGGTTCGGCTACCCACCTCGGGTGACATAAAGGTAGAAGAAGTCACAGTAGAGCACTGTCTGCACAATGCCGGCTACGATGGCGATGAGGTCGTAGAACTCCTCCGTGTAGTAGCGGTAGACCCAGTTGAAGATGTACAGAGCCCGGTACGAGCCCAGGCAGAACAGGTAGTGCGAAGTGATGGTCTCCGCCTCCCCTGTCTTGGACACGAGGAACAGCTGCGGCAGGATGGCCACCGCCTCCAGGTAGATGGACAGGGTCCACAAGACCTGCAAGAGGGGCGGGGTGCCGCCCACCCCGGGAGGCGCTCAGACGGCTCTTCCGCGACGGCCTCTCGACGCTCCGTGAAGAGCATTCGACCTACTTTCCGTTTTCCCCAAGGACAACTCGGCAGCAAGGAGACAGAGGGCGCTGAGGTCTAACGATTTGGGTGGCATGCCCGAGAAGTGTCTAGCTTGGCAACCCAAAGGTGCCCAACCTCAGCCTAACGAAATTTTGCTCCAAGGCATTAGTTAGTGCCAAAGCACTTTTTTTCGGCGCTTCTATGGCGCGCCACATAATTGCTAAAGTGCCAGGCTGGAGCCAAGATGCCACGCATGAACCAAAGAGCCAGCACTGCAGCCTAAATCATGCACCTGATCGGCAATTTAGGTCTAACTTGCCACATAAAAACCGAATTGAAAGTGAAGCCCTTACTCGGGCACTTGTTTGGCAATTTAGGCCCAAAGATGCCAGATGATGGCCAAACTACCAGCAGGGAAGCCTGACTTGGGCACTTGTTTTCGTGGATTAGGGCAGAGATACCGAGGCTTTAGCCGAAGAAGGTCAAGCTTGGCCCTACCCCGGCTTCATCGGACTTTTTGAGGCCCTAAATACCCACACAAAAACTAAATTTTCGCCCAAAGAACTGTGCTACCTGAGGAACAAAGAACAAAAGAAGCACTAGCCCCATATACAAATAACATTTGTCATGCTCGCTTCTTCTACTTGTCGGTCACGCTATTTGCATTGTTGCTAAGATTACCCACAGTTAATTTTTGCAACAACTCGGCAGGTCCGTGTGAGGGTACGCTGCTTGGTTGTCATTCGGCGAAGGTGCTCAGATCTCATGGCCCGGGAGGACTAAGTAACCACAGTGGAAGACGGACCAAGAATACCCCCCTTTTACATTCATAGAAGGAAGCAGCTGACAAGTTTAATAACTGCACACGAGGGGGAGGGAAGCTAGTGGTGTTCGACACCTTGTGAGGCATCGACACATGGCTCAACTGTGCATTATACAACCGTGGTCGTATAATGCACAGCTGCATCGAACCACCCCTCCAAAATTCGGCTGGTGCATCCAAGCGAGGGAAGGTGCCGGCCTCCCAACCAAAGCTCGGAGAACAAACCCCAAAGCAACTCCAGACTTCACCCAAACCGAAATTCAAAGAGCCAGGACAGGCCAAACGAGCCCAGCAACCCCGTCGAGCCTCCCAAGCCGCGCGCCTGGACGCGCGAAATGCGCCGATTGCCGCCGTCACCCGAGTCCAGAAGTTACACCAAGCACCACCGGCCCACCTCCGCCGCCGCGGAGCATGCATGCCGCATGCGCCGTCCGCCGACCCGTCGCGTAAAAAGGGGCATAGTGTACCTCGACGGGGTCCCTAAACACCAGCGAGGCGTGAGACAGGATGCTCTGCAGGAGTTCGTTTTCGTCACTGGTCTTTCGGTTCAGTTGCGCCTGCGTCGGCAACAAGGCGCCTCAGACATTGCACATGCAGCCAACGACGCGGGCTAGGGCCACAACCCCGAGCGAACCCCAAGACCACATTCCCCAATGACAAAATCCGGGATGGGCGGCCCATTTCTTCCCAACACCCAATGGCTCGCTCTATTCGTAAAAAGGGATCGTGGTTTTCAGGCTTCAGCAGAGTTATCTGCTTCATGCTGTAAAACTAGACAAGATACATGTATCCACTAAAATGTAAAATAGTTATCTTCTAAAAGACCGACAAAAAAAATGCGTCACGACTCGCTATCCTAGCTCATCTGTGAAGCCACTCGTTTTCAAAGAAAGATTCCATAATTTCCAATGTATAAGGTACAGTTCTTTCCTAAATTTCAGCCAGTTTGTCTCATGCAACAATGCGAATTATATAAATTTCCTTTTATAAGTAGGGACCTTAGCTGTACAAAATGTATGCCATCGACATTCACAACAAAGAGGGAACAGCAGGGCACGTGCCGACGGCCTGCTCTTCCTGCAGTCTGCAGAGGGTTTGAAGCGTGCTGGCTTAGGTCAGTAGCTGCAGAGACCTCGTGCGCTGTCCTTACCAGCGCTCCAGAACTATGCGCAACTAATTACACACTTTTTCGTGAAAAAGGCCATTTAGTAAGCGGTGCAGCTTCCAGACCGGAAAATATGGCGTACTGTTCCAAGCTGTCGGCCAGACGGCTCTATTCATTACACACCAATAACTTGCAGAGACCTTGCCTCGTCACATAACATTTTTAAATTCTCACATTTACTATTTTCAATTTCCCTACATGGAAGTCACTCCCTGAAAATATTGTAATTGTACAAGAACTAATCAAGTTTCAAGCAGCACTTGGCACTCTCCAAAGTGTGCAGCAACCTAGCTCTCCTTTTTACCGTTTTCCCAGTGTTATTGATGTAAACACTTATGTAAAAAGAAGGGTACCATATTTTACGGACTTTAGTCCGCACCCAGTGTAAAGCTTAGTCTGCACTTTGTGCCTAATCCGAACACAAAAATTATTGTACACAGCACATCTTGACAAATGCCCGCTGTATAAGCTTACAAAGAAGCTTGTATCATACATAAACCAAAATTAATATACTATGCTGTTCATAAAATACTTCACATCTTATCACAGTGATCTAGAAAAAAAAAAATCCTCGTATAATTTGCACATGTAGGTAGGCTGCACCGTGTAGAGTCTAAACTTTTAAACATGTATATCCGACGGAGCATAGTCTAGAAAACATGGTATATTAAATTAAAAACTGCATTTCACCTTAATTTGATTCCCCAACCCCATCCGTTCTAGAAGACTGACTGTCGTACCAGCCATACATTAATAAACACATTTTCAATCGATCACAGTAAATAAACTGGCATCAGATGCTTGGTGATGACCACCAGCTGAGCACAGCTCTAAAGAAAGTAACAATATATGCCAATAACCAGAGGAATATGGAAGGAGGAGGTTGCCAGACCTCACAATGATGATTACGAAGCAAGCTATACTCCGGGTCAACTTTCTGTGGCAATAGAGACAAAGCCACATAGCAGAAGCACGCCGTTTCACTGCAAAGCTGAATTTAGTTCATCCAAAATTATTTTCCATGTGTAACTTAACCAATTTAAAAATATTAGATTGTTCTTTTTAGCTTTGACTTTATAATGTTACTATAATGTTAGTCAGGATAGGCCAAACTTGAAGCATTCTTTTTTAGTTCCTTCGGGTTTGCTTGCCCCTTTGTTCGCCCTGTAGGATTTTCGCGAGGTTTGGCACCAAAAAGTCACCAAAACGAACCAAGCAAGCTGTGTGCAACAATTATGCACAAGTGAGAAGGAATTGGGACTTTCCGTTGTTTCCGCATACCATCTAGTAGGGAGCTCAGCGGCGTAAGGGAGCAGGGGTCAGAACCCAGGATCCCTGGGTTCTGACCCGCGAGTTTTTGCTGTACGTGTTCTGAGCTGTGGTGCGTCACCGACCTCCCCCCCCCCCCCCCCCCTAGGACCAGTGGCAACTAAACAAGATTCATTGAGGATTTGGCTTCGTGCCGTTGCGTGTGCGTGCTCCTCTTTTGGGTGTATCGCGCCCGCGCTATGATTTTTTGGCACCATAAGAGTTTACCTAGCAACGACCTCAAAATTGCAGCACCAATGAAATTCACGGCATTTCTTAGACTGATGCCGCATACCTGCATCGGTCACAAGACAAACAGAATTGGACGAGATCAACCATGGTGTAATTTACATTGTAAGTCAGTCCTAGTGCCTCAGTCAAAGCTTTGGCTTCTGTGTGGAAACAGGTGAAAGGTAGGGAAAGAGATGCGGATATGCCTGCATGCTCAGCAATCGCGGTTCAGCAACCCGTACTGCGATCCTCATATGAGGAGGTGAACTACTGTAAAACCCTTTATTTTCGCGGCCCCTATTTTTCGCGAATCGGTCACAGATGACATAATCGCGACCACTAAATTTCGCGAATTCCAGACGCCTTCATTGAAAATCTTAAAAACCGAAATTTTTGCGCGCCCTTAAATTTCGCGAATTCTTCAATTCGTGAAATTCGCGAAAATTGAGGGCTCGCGAACATTGAGGGTTTTACAGTATGACAAATGCGTGCCTGTCATGCAAAATCCCAAACTGAAACCGAAACCAGAAGGGACCGGGACTATTCGGTGGAATAATATGGAGCTGTCAGTTCCATCCCCTTCACCCCCTAACCTTCTCTTCATTGCCACAGAAAGTTGTCCCCAAGTATGGTTGCCAGACTTTGAGCAGAGAAAAAAAAATGTTTATGATGCGTCACAGTAAGGAAATTTCCGATCGCAAGTACAGAATGACGATAATTTAGAGAGACTGAGGAAGGGGGTTGCCAGACCTCAAGCTGACAATGATGAGAGCAAGAAAGGGAAATTGAACAGAGGGGTTCCCACTCTTTTAAGATCACTGACGACAAAGATAACCACGACAGCTAGAGACAGGGAAAGGGGTTGCCAGAAATCAAGGTGAGAATGATGATGATGATGAGAGAAACAGGGAAGGGGTTGCCAGACCTCAAGCTAAAAACAATGATGATGATAATAACAGGAGAGCTAAAGAGAAAGGGAGTTGCTAGACACCAAGCTGAAAATGATGATGATGAGCAGACAGAGAGAGAGAGAGAGAGAGAGAGAGAGTTGCAGACCTCGAGGGGCGTGAACTCGTGGTTGACGAGGAGTGCAAGCAGGGTGACGGGCACCAGCAGGAACTCGATGCGGAAGGTGTCGTGGTTCCGGTCGTTGGTGGCCTTGAACTTGACGTACATGAGGTACAGGGTGGCATAAGAGGCGGCCAGGAACACCACCTTCATGAACGAGTTGTAGGGCGACACGAAGGTTGTGAACAGGTCCAGGTACCGCGCCGTGTACACCACCGAGAACAGGATCTGGCTCTTGCCCGAGATGCCTGCGCCAATCAATGTCAACAGGTCAATCAACACAAGGCAGTCTACAAAATATTTCATATTGATTAAGCCGCTAGTAACGCAAAATAAAACAGTGACACACGTATAATAAAAGCAATGGGAATATGTAATAAAAAGTAATGAAGATTAGTTACAGGATAGGCAAGTTAACCTGAAGGTGGCAGACATGTTCCATGGAGAAACGTATGGTGTTTTAAGGAAATGTGTAAGTTTTGTGAATGTAGCACTGAAGATGGCAAAAAGCTTTCCGGATGTTAGTACCACTGAACTGCATTAGTCGTTAGGGCAAACACCTCGTACTGCAATAAAATGCTAAAGTGTGTGGCGTTTACCGGCCTCAAATTATGCTCAGCATTTCATGGACCACAGGCCAATATTACCCTGCAACAACCGTGCAATGCACAACGACTGATGCCGCATCAGTCACTGACAGAGGGCCGAAACGTAGACGCGTGCAGAATTTGAGAAAATTGAGCATCTAATTCCTTATCAGCAGTTATTGTTTTAATTATCCAAAATAAAAAGTACAGCCTCAAATAGAAATTTGCTGGTCATCACCTGAGTTACTCAATGAGCCTTAGGGGACTGCATCCCCAAAAAGGAAACAATTTGGTTGCAGTGCCGAGGTTTTGTTTCACTATAGGCTAAACATCACAGCACCATAAGCCAATAGTGAACCAAACTTCAAGGGCCGACTCCAACGTCTGCCCTTGTCTCGGCACTCCATGTTTTTGAGGTAAAACGAGAAAAACCCACTTGGAAAAGTGATTTCAGAAATTGCGTTCAACCCTTCTTCTCAAATTAAAAAAAGTTTTGCCAGGCAAGCTACAGGATATCAATCACATGCCAGTGACTATTGCATTTCTAATTTTGGGCGTCAAACCGGACAACTGTCAATCAGAAACAAAATACTAGAAAAGCAGAAAGTACTCGACTCCAAACCCAAGAGTGTAAGCAAAGTTTGTTGAACTCATCGGCTTCGTACAACTTCTATTCTAAGGTTTGTCGAATGAGTTACCTTGGCAGCCGCAAAGGCTCAAATGGCGTGAAATATTACAGCTACCTCGATAGGATATGCATCCAAACCTGTGGCTCACAGATAAAAGTTTGTATCACCTTGTGCTCAAACTGAGGGTCGTCGTGAAATCTGATTTCTGAGTGCACACAAACTTGTGCTAGGAAACGGATTTCCAAGCAGCACAGATTTGGCCAATCATTGGCCAATGACTGGAAGTAATTCTTTGGCAAGTGGCCAGCCATTGACTTATGACTGGCTTTCCTCTGGCCATTGGCCAATGGCCACTGGCCATCAGCCAAGCATTAGCCCATGAACGGCCACTCTTTGGCAATTGGCCAAAAGACCATCGCCAGCCATTGGCCAATGCTTGGCTAAATTCCGTGCTGCTTGGGTTGTTTTGTCTAGATTCCTTTCGGCTTTGATCATACAACCAGTAAAGCCCGAGCAGACGGCACAGGCAGTACCACAGTAATTGTGACACGGTGCTTTAACTGCCATTCTAATGACACCGTTTTTTTTTGTTTTTTTTTTCTGATTCTTTTAAAAAGAAAAAAATGAAAAAATCGTGTAAAGCATTATTGAAGGCCTACGAAAAGCACGCAATTTCACTAAATTATGCCTCGCAAACTTATCATACCCGAGGCAACACCACATATGCTGCGGCACGCAGCCGACACGCCTAAAATACGTCATCTGCAAAGAATAGAGCAGTGAACAAACATACAGCTGCATCGTTTTTTTTTTTTCTTGTTTTCAATGCACTTGTAATTTCTTTGTTGCCGTTTTTTTTTTTTTTCTTTTTCTTTTTTTTCTATACAATTACCAAGACTTGCCAAAACCTTACCAAGACTTGCGAGGCCGTTCGACAGATGTGCTACGTAGCGATGGACTTGTACCAATCAGTCCAAATGTTAACTTTTTACCGTCGTTTTAGTTTTGGTCTTCAGTATGTGACGACCGCAAAGTTCAAACATGACTTGGCAGAGGACAAATAAAATGAGCTTCCCACAGAAAACACCCGGAATTAGGTAGCACAGCGAGACAACGCTTGCCTGCCCTTGCCAGTCGATGTCGATTTGGGAGGAGTTTTTTGTTTTATGTTTTTGTGCAATCTGATGCCAACAAAGTTTCACGTCTAAGGAAGCGCTAACATATTCGGTGATTAAAAAAAAGTGTACACGTCGCATTTCACATGCGATGCATGAAACTGGTGCAGCCGTCCGAAGACGCAGGGAAGAACGACGTGTACTGAAAGTTCCTAGACTTCCAGCTCTAATCCGCTCAGGATTAAAAGCAAGTGACGAAGCTTAGCGAGAAAACGGAACCCTTTAGAACCCAACAGCGTAATCGGAAACTGACAAGATGCCCCAGCAACCCCAATTTCGTCCGCAAAAGCTAAGCCGAGGTGCGGTAGTACAGACGTGATTCGTACTCATCGCCGTAACTCTCGGCGAAAAGGTATGCTGCTAATGCCGGATTATTTTAAAGGGTTACCTGAACACGACCGTGTCTTCCATATCTTGAGCAGGAGGATTATGATGGCCATTAGGTGGGAAAAATCCCCCGCTAAACGGAATATATTCATTTTGTCACGCTTTTTTCTGCGCTGCGAATGCGACCACGGCCGGCAAATATGGCGGCCTTACAACTGACGTGGCTTGGCAACCCGTCCCAGAGGGGGCGCTAGGTTTTTAATCTATTTGGCCACTTTTTTTATAACAGGTTATTTCATTAGTTTACGATAGCGGTAAATTTAGACCAGTTACTCAGTAATAATAAAAGTTGGATATGTTTGTTTTAAAGTTGAATGTTAAAGTTTTAGCCAAGGGAAGTCGCTTATCTCCGCTTGTCTGGCTTGTCTGTACTCGTCTGTCGTCTGCTAGCAAAACTAAAACAAAAGTTATTGAAATTACGTGCTTGTTTGACGTTTCAAAGTGCACAAGACAAATAACTAAGGCACTGGTATTTCTAAGACCTTTCACTTCCATTTATGAACACATTTTTTTATAAATAAAAATGTGTGCTTTGTCTAGATAAATAAATATACTGGCCGTATCCTTTGTAACGGGCGGTAGCTTGCGTCACCTAGCCAAAGTCTAAAGAGACTGTTAGCGTGGATGCCAACGTTATTAACATTTTCGCCCACCACAAGTCAAAATGTACCCACTCTGAGATCATTTATTTGAACAATCGAGCGCAGTCGTTATGTTCGTTTACGCGCGTTTACGCGAGTTCGCCGGGTTCACCGCCTCTTTCTTGACGTGACGTCACCGCCACGAGAGGTCACATGTCACATGGCCGAATCTCTGAATCACGAAGTTGTCCGTAACCTTGATTTAACGTGCACGACCGTAGTACCTCTGCACCTTGGTGGCTTTGCCAGTTTTGCTTTTCCTGTTCGATCGCGCGTAAAGAACCAAAAAGCGTCACGTAATTTGTTCTCGTTGCATTCATCGTGTCGTCGCGGCAGTCGTGGACGTTTGTGACGAGTTTCAGCGCGCTTCTAATCTCGGCAAAAAGGAACTTGACTTGGAGGCGACCATGGAGCCAAATCCGTCCTGACGAAAGCAAGCTTGCGGTGCGTATGAGTCTTGTTCGAGAACTTCTACACTCTACGCCCATTTCCTGTGCTCATAATATAGAAGCAAGAAAAAGGGGGAAAACGTTGTTGGAACATTGATTGCATACAAAACCGCCCGAAGTTGGCACGATTTTAGATGCTGCTGCGTGCCGACGTACCCGGAAAACTGCACGGCTTGGAAACTCGGTAGGAAGATATAAAAAATGAAAAAACGGTTAGCACGGGTTGCATTGTGTTCACACTGTTGCAGCAAATTTAACAGGGCGCTCATTGTATTGTCGTCGTTTTGTTCTCCTTAATGGGTTCGTTACCCCCAAATTTAAATTGCATTTTTTTTTCTTCGAGGAAGACACGATGTTGGGCGACTATGCGTTGAACTTCTAGTCATGCGGTTGTGGTGAGGCGTAGTTTTTCTTTCTCGTTTTGGTGAAGCGGCGTATTGGATTGCGCAGTTTGATAATTTTTGAGAAAAGTGCTGGATTCCGTAAGAGAGTCTCGAAGTCCACAGTCGTCCACATTAAAATTATTTTAGGACAGCCTAGAGGGGTGTACATGGTGGTTGGCGTCGTTCACAGCATGGCACATGGTGATTTCATGTGCGAGGTACGCAAACATGTACACGTAGCAAAGCCCTATATACTCCGTGCACTGTGAAAGTAGTGTCGGTGCAGTATGTGGTGGTGGTTCGAGAACCAAGCAAACATTCATGATGGAAACGTTGCACCTTTTCATGGGCTAAACTCTGTGGGTTTCCCGTGAACGTGGCTGATGGCATCTGAAAAGCAAATGTGCGTCCCAAGCACGTAAGGTGGAGATAGAAGGCTGTCTAGCAGGGAACGCCCATTGCGAACAAGGGCTGTCATAGTTACGTAACATTGAATATAACGTTGAAAGTGTGGAAAGTAAGGAGGGAGTGTCTGGGCTCGTGAGTGCTTTCACCCGGCCAAGAATTTTGGAAGGGGACAGCAGAAAGCAGACGGCATGTCGACTATTATCCCCTGGTCCTTATTGGAAAGGGAAGCCACGGACAACTACCGAATTCAGTGGTGTCTTTTAATGGCAATTCTCATGAGTCAACGATAGCAAAAAACATATTGGCAGCGAATTTTATCTCCAAAGTTCTATAATGCATGAAATGCAGTATCAAAGGGGAAAATTGTCTGAGTTGGTTTGGAAGAAATTTAACTGTCAATTCGGGGAGTGAAGAAGAACCTAAATTTTTTCAAATTTTCCCTACTAAATTTGGTACGGAAGCCAATGTGGTTCGTAGGTCACATGATGTCTATTTTCTCGCTAAATTTAGTGGAAAAACAAAATAGGTGTGTAGGTCACGCAGTGTCGGGTAATGCAACGTCAGTTTTTCTTGCCAAGCTTAGCGGTAAGTGCACAAATAGATCGACAAAAATTTTGGAATTGGGGGATTCCGTCAGAAAAGCATTTCATGCTTTAGAAAATGATACGAGCCTCTCCGTTTTTATTGTGGCCTCCTCCGTCGATCGTTCGGCGCAACGTTCACACCTCCCCTTCTCGTCGCAGGTCGCTCCCAGACGTTCCCATGGGGAGGCTGCGCGTCCCTCGACAAGGACTGGCGTCACCGAGCGGGCGGACGGGCGCGTGCAGTTGTTCTGAACGTCCGTAGATGTTGGCGCACCTACCCCAGCGCAGGCTGCACATGCTGTTCTTGTGCGTCGGATTGGTGATGATCGTGGCACTGTCCAAGCTGGCAACAGACAGGCTGCACGAGCTGCAGAAGCACTACCGCATGCAGGATTATATGGCGCAGGTGGGTGAAGCCGCTGCCGTTTCGGTACGGTGCCTGGAGCGTGTCGCCGACTGTGGTCGGTGACAGGTTACAAGTTTGGGGGGAAGCTCATCCTACCTCTTTCACTTTAGCAGAGCAAATACTGGAGAGGAGGTCGCCTCCCCTGCTAAAGCGCAAAAAGGTGGAAGGAGCTTCCCCTGCGGGGCACAAGTTTGTCTGCTTCATGCTCAGGGGTTGCGATGATGTCAGAACGCCGAGCTCTTATTGGCTGACTGAAAAAAATAGTGGGCGGACCTCAAGGCATCTATCATTGAGGTCTACCCACTATCCTTCCAATCAAAGCCACTCAGATGTCGGCGTTGTTCTGACGTCACCGCAATCCCTGCACAAGAAGCAGACGACTTGCTTTCTGCATAGACTGGTTACCACGTCCGGCGAATTCAGGATACAGCAGGCTTTGATAATGTTTTGTGTAGACAAAAAAAAACTGAACGCAATGTTTCACAGGCTCGTACGCATTCGTAGTGTCTCTCTCCTGGTCTCCCTACATAATTGAACTGCTCACTGTGTTGTCAGCAGTGTGTCGCAAACACTCAACATCTTTTTTCGCTTTTGCGCTCGTCGTTTGTGACATTGTGCTAGTTCGGCAGAGAGAGGCAAACAACGGCTCTTTTGCGTTGAAATGCCCGTCGCGACAGCCCCTGTGAGTAGTTTGCTCAAAATTCACAAAGTGCTAGCTATGTTGCTGGGAAGGGGAACTAAGGTGACAAAACGCTCAAGAAAGCCACTTCGAGATCGGCGCACCTTCTGCGTTTTATTCCCTAGAAATGGGTATGAATGTATTTGTTCCAAAAAAGAAGTGCTGTTCATCGGCGTTGCAGCTTGTTCAGGTAAAATGAAAACAATACTACCCTGAGTTCTTGAAGGGGCGAAGGCAGCTGCAAATAAAGCTCAGCGAAACATATTCATTAGATGTTTCTAATTTTATAAGTATTCTTTTCAAATACTTTTTTTTTTGCAAATCTCTTTATACATCACTAAAAGAAAACAAACCTAACCACTTCTAAGACTGACAAAGAGCCTGCCAGTCTTGAAATATATCATCCGCCCTTCAAGAAGTAAGGGCAGTGTTTTGATTCTCTTACTTGCGAGCTGGCTTTGTCAACCCAGGTAGTAGGTCACTCCTTCAGGGATAAAGGTAGGCTGTGACTAATCACATTTTCCCCTCGCGTCATCCCACGTAGATGAACCTCGCGAAAGACACAATGCAAGTTCTCGAGGTGAGCGCGGCACGGCTCGAAAACCACACTGCACGGCTGAGGCGGCAAGTTGCAGAAGAGAAGAAACGGCGTCAGCTCAACGCCTCGGCCAAGGCGGAAGACGTGCAGCCTCACGGCACGTCGACGTGACAGCGGTGCCCGACGGTCAAGGACTCTTTCTGATTATTTTAGGAACGATGCTGCAAGATCAGCCCAACGAAGACTTACTCTTTTTGAAGCATTGGTGGACGTACATGGTGTAGGCATCAAACGATGAGAAGGTTGCAGGAAGTGCTCTGAGCAAGTTGTGTTTGTATTGTTGATGTTGAATACGGACATCATCGTGGCATGCGTAGAACCCCATCGTGTGGTCACCGCATGTCGTCGAGGGAAACGCGGTGAGACAAAGTGACGGAACGGCGCGGTGGCGACAGGCTGAAGGGGGGGCATTGCCAGTGATTACATTTTTGGCGTTCGTGGAAAGAAATTTAGTAGCTTGATGTGCGTAGCGGTTGACGACTTGAGTCGATGGGAACACTGGGTGTATCGGAGTTACTTTAATACAGGAGCTTAGAGCAGTTTGGTAGGCTCCCTAATTTTGGTGATGTTTTATTTTTCAAGGATCAGTTGTCCTATCAGACTAAGTAAATGGTCACAGAGCCCTCATCCTATTGTATCATTCTTCAACTAAAGACCTAACTTACTTTGTTTCTAAAGTAATTGGCTCATTTTACAGAGCTTTTGACACATAACATAACTTGGGTATGCATCATCCTTAACTGCTAAACAGTGATCTGCACAGTGTTTTTGCTGATCAGGTCTCTGGTCTCATTTCAGTTCAGTACCACCTACTCCCATCTATCAAACTCGTAATTCAATGAAGTACTTGCAGTCTTGCCATTTCCCTTCCCCGAAAAGTTCTAGGTGGCGCCTAAACGGTGCCCCGGGATGAGCTTGCTTCGATGTAGCTAGGATTTCAAATTTTTCTATTGCGGAAATCAAGGTATGGTGCGTCGAACTTGTTGTGGTCCAGTTACCGGACTTCTAGCCGGACGTGGCACGATTTTCGTGACGCCTTCAGCACAGAAAGGGTTTTCGAGGGCACCAGCATGTTTTGTTAGGCACCGTGCAATGTTGACAAGAAAACGTGTGGTGCGTGTTGGAAAAGTTGTGAGTGGGATGCATCACGCCTAAGCTGCGTCGCCTAACTAGTGAGAGAGCTATTTCTACCCATTTTTCATAGTCATCTAACGTCGGGAAGATGCGAAAGTAACGACAGCCTAGTGGGACACCCGGTTTGGTCCTGGGGTACTTGACTGTGTGGAAAGCAGGTGTGATTACTCCGGCTGAATGTGTCGCTTCACTTTGCGTATCTGACAGTCTGCAAGCAGGTCTTGTGCAGTGAAGGTTTGTGTACCATTCAATGTCCATTTGTACAGACGACATACTGCTCCCATTAACATTGTGCAAGTACTAAGTACTTGTTCCTAGTGGTGATAACAGGTGTCCTGCAGGGTACTAGTACTTAACCAAATAAAGTCCGGTGTTGCTTTTTTTTTTTTTGTGTGTGTTTTGTCATGTGCACGTGTGTGCTTCAAAGCAATCCCGCAGGTTGGGACATGGCCTATTTTGCAGGCTGACAATGTTAAACCATTAACACAGCTTGACGAGACTGCTAAGGTTTGAAGTACTTTTGACGCAAGCAGGAGTGTTTGGTGCTCAACGCACATCTGTAATCAAAGCACTTATATGTGCTGGAGTAACAACTTGAAGTGTCCTTATATCAGTGTGCTTTATCTTCAAGTACTTAAAGTGCTTCAGCCACTCACTGAGCTTGAAGTAATGGTAGATATGTCGCTAGTGCTTTGGTTATCGATGTGCCTACAGCACTGAAAAGTTTGGCTATAAGGCATCGGGCACTTGTGAAGGCAAGTACTTGTCTAAATGCTAGATGGTACTTGGCAAGTACTTGTCTAAAGGCTAGATGGTACTTGGTAGAAGTGCTTTTTGCACCTAGTACCTGTTATGTTGAAATGTGGATACACCTTCCAGTGCATATATAAGAGGCCAAAAGATGCACGGTCATTGTCATACCTAGAAGCTTCTAACAACCCAATTTTGAGGAGTGGTTCCTGAGGTCCATGTAGTCAAGTTTTTGGTGCTGGTTCACACCATCTTTTTGTTTGTTTGTTTATAAGAGTTGTGTGTTTCCCGTTTGAATGTTCATGGGGTTCTAGCACTGGTTGCACGGTTGTGGAAATAAATTTATGGTCATTATTACTAACATTGAGTTGCGTGATTTTTTTTGTTTTTTTATTAATTAGGTACAGAGGTGCGTACAAACTTGGTACGAAAAATGTGAACATTGTTTTACCGACACACTAGAAATAAAGTACCACCCGAGCATATAGAAATACATGAAATAAATTGTGGTCTAAAGCATGCTCTGAACAGCGACTTTCATCTGTGCCTGAAACTCTTATCCCGAGGTGGCGTCACTGACCAAACATCACAAAACTTTTTCACTGCGAACGTCGGTTATTTGCATCCAGCGTGCATTTTCCACCGTTGTAAAAGTTTGTTCATTGATCAAATTTAACTTCGCTGGCCAGTTCTCTTCGGTCTATGCTAGCTTGACGGCAAACTGCTTGGATGGCTCCGACCTGGATGACCACCCTCAAGTGTACATGCACAGTGGTTCTCAGACAGGACTCTCCTCCATCGCCTTTTCATATGAGTCGCTATGGGAGGCCATCAGTAAAATCAGGTTCACCCAAGGTGAGGGACCAGATGGAATATCGCCTGCTTTTTACAAGATTGTCTCACCTCATGCTCTACCGTTGCTGTCGATGGTTTTCCAGGGCCTTCTGGATGAAGGCGTCGTGCCACAGTCTGGGCGGCGGGCCCTTGTTACCTCTGTTCACAAAGGACATGGGAAACCCTTCAACGACCCTCAAAACTATCGTCCTGTGTCTATTACATCAATTGTGTGTCAAACTTTTGAAAGAGTTGTCAACTCGTGCCTCCTGAACTTCCTCGAAAACACTTTACACATATCGCCATCGCAACATGGGTTTCCTCGAAACAGGAGTTGTGAAACTGCTCTTGCTACTCTGTCCCACTGTATCAGCAACAACATGGACAACCGAGTGCCAACAGACCAGGTGCAATTGTGCTCAACGAACGCTTTCGACACCCTCAGCCTAATCATGAGCGGCCCTTCGCTGGTGTGGCTTTGTTGCAGGCCGCAGCCAGCAGGTAGTATACAGGGGCACTTGCTCTGATGAGTGGAAAATTGAGTCAGGCATACTGAACTTGTTATATATGTAAACGACATGCCGCAGAGTGAGAGGCTTCTGGTGGTCCAGTGTGCTGGCAACATTTCCATCCTGTCGCCCGCCTCTGACCCCAGCACCTTTCAGCACCTCCAGGACTACCTTGAGGAAGTGGAGCATTGGGGCCCTTGCCAACCACCTCCATCTGAGCCCCAACAAGAGTGGTGTGATGCATTGCAGTGCCAACAGGAAAACTGATCCACCTGCATACAGGCTTATGGGTGCCAGCCTGGTGCCCTGCGAGACGCGCACCATCCTTGGAGTGGTGTTCACTCCAACGCTGGATTTTTCAGCCCACATCGCTGGTGTTTAAGTTGTTGTTTTGTTCCCGCAGGTGGTGGTGGGCTGGCAGGCGCTCCGCGTAAGGGTTCTCAACTATATGCCCAGTCCCGCACGGGCGGCGGAGAAAAGCTCACCGGAGAAAAGCTCACCACAAAACCGGCAGATGCGGAGAAAAGCTCACCAATTTTTTTAACTTTACGGATTCTGAAGCGGTGTGTGAACCGCTTCAGCTCCAAATATTGTGTAGTGCCTAATAGATAAGTAGGTGTTTGTTGATGTAATCAGTGTCGGCTACGCTGTTTTCTTTTTGTTAATTTTACTAACAAAACTTTAGTTGCGAGAACAGCTTCGTCCTGTCGTGTTTGTTGTCTTCACTCCGTCTTCGTAGTTTGAGTGGTTTTCATCATGTATAATGTTTAACAACTCGCCCTATTCGCTGCGTTACCGAAGACTACTTCTTATATAGGTCACGAGTAACAACGGTGACAGTGTGCCCCTCTGAAGGTCTTGGGTGGCTCACCGTGAAAGGGAGGTATCACACAAAGGCAACGTGTCGAAACACCAGCACGAACGGCTAGAAAACGTGCATGTCTGTTGAAGAAAGAAACCTCGATATACTACTGTTTTATCCTACCTGTTTTCAAAGGTTAACAAAAGCTTCAAAGAGAATTTCAGGCACCACGTTGTTGTGCATGCACTTTCCGATTTTCGGCATTCACAGTTTTCATTTTTAGGTTTTAGGCAGACATTATTAAGTTTTCGAACTTTTCCCTGTTCTTGAAGCTCATAAAGTTTTCAGTTTGGCTTTTGTTGCCTACAGAGTAAGCCAGAGAAAACACACTCCCGCAATTAATAATTTGGGAGCAATATACCCAATAAGCTTAAGAAATAATACAAAGAAGGACATTTTATTTTTTATAAAGTTGACGAATTCTAAGGATAATAAATTGATATATGTTACGATCCAACAGTCTCCATATATAATGAACAGAAAAAAACGGGGAGCTTTTCTTCGCATGCGCTCAATGGCCGGTGAGCTTTTCTCCGCATCCGCCGGTTTTGCGGTGAGCTTTTCTCCGGTGAGCTTATCTCCGGTGAGCTTTTCTCCGGTGAGCTTTTCTCCGGTGAGCTTTTCTCCGGGATTCGTCCCGCACACCACCACCTGCGTCTTTCGAAGTGCAAATAAAATTATTATATTATTATTATTATTATCGGTCGCCTGCACTTGTAGTTGTGAGTGTACTGGGCTCCGGCACTGGAAAGCCTAGCATAAGAGCATAGCGAGAGAAGTGGCTCCATCTTATGCTACTGGCCTTAATTATTCACCGCGCGGGGACGAGTGCCGTAGGCGAATGATTTATCAACGATCTGCCCGCCTGCGAGATACCGGGCACTTCAATGCTAAATGAATCCTCTGCTAAACAAAAGGAATTATTAAATAAAACGCCGGGAACAGAATAAACCGGCTAATTGATACTTCGGAGCACGGCGGCTTTTTGATTACGCAAGAGACAATAAACTGATAGCGATCACGAAACGTCGAAGAAACTACCTTACTTGATGACGCAAGCACCAAGGTCGAGTCGTGATTTGCCTCCGTTGGCCATGCTTATTATGCCTGATTTGAGCGGAAGCAGCTATAGGTAATGATCTATTGGACATAGCGAACCGGTATTTCGTTTGCCTGACGTACATGGTATCGGCACAACTGAGCCTTAATTTAGGAACGTATTTACCCGCTGCCCGTCCACTCATATTGCTGTTCCAACAAATTGTTTGCCTGCAATGAAATATATATATAAAACGAAATTTCATTATCTCAAGTTATCCTTGTACGTGCGCAGTGGAAGAGAGTTCATTTAGAATGGAGAGCGTTCTGTAAGGATAATGTAAAAATGTCAATGATGCCGCTCGCTTAGCAACAACACTTTTTTTTTTTTTGTCCTTACCTGGGTGGTTGTGATTATATTTGTATTGATGTTAAACAATTGTTGTTTTTACACTGAGTGCATTTTTTTTTAATTATGCATGTTTTTTTACGATACCCCCCCCCCCCCCCCCCCCTTCTATGTAATTCCCCATCTGGGCCTTTAGATATAACTAAAAAATAACATTTGCTTTAATCTGGTCATATTAATAGAACGAAAATAAATCGTCGGCCCGTTTCAAGCTGCGTTTAATATCCATAGCACAAGCGTCCTTCTCCATTGAACGTTACACATTGTTACGCTCCATTGTGAAACAAAAAGTAATGCTAAAAGGACATACCGTTTTATTATTTTTCCCTGCCGCAGTATTGTTCCGGTTTGAGGTTTCCCCCTCCTCCCTGAAGCGCCGCCTCCTCGCCCCCCTCCCATTTAAAAAAAACTTTCGGCCACTCCCATTGGATAAGACTGTCACCACGTGACAACTACGTCACAAAGCTCACGAGAGGAGAAAAACTTGGCGTTCCCCCTCTCCCTCGCCTACCCTGCGAGCGCGGGGAGTCGGACGTCTGCGTTCCCCAAGACCAAGAGAAGCGCAGACGTTCCACTTTCTTGGTACGGTGCGGAGCGTGGAATTGCTGACACACCGGTTGCGCTATGCTGTACGCCATTTCGACGCAAGCCTGCCTCACATAGGCCACAACCTCTGCACAAGACCGTAAGTGGCACTTATTATTTTAAGTAGATTCTAACCGCGGGACGCTGTTAACTTCGTACTAGAAGCAGCGGAAACAAGGGATCCAGAAAAAAGAGTTTGGAATAGCTTGCACAGCGGGGGGAGATTCCTTTCATGTCTGGACATGTCGAACATTTTGTGGATCGATCTTCTGGCGATTTTGTTTTCTTCATTTCGTTCATCGCGCGACGAATTTGTAGATCTCGATGTCGCGTTTTTAAGCTTTTCAAACTTTAAAACGTCACCGCATCGTTGGGCTAGTTTCTCGGCCGAAGCGTCGCTGTCGTAGCAGCACTTGTTGCGCAGCTTCACATCGCTGATCGTGACCGCACGCTGAAGATCAGCACGATTGTCATTCTTTGTAGCCGATCGCTCCCCGCGTCGGGAAGGCTGTAATCGAACTAACCATTACAACATCGGCGACGCTAACTACTGATTGTTTGTTTACGCATAGCTTGCCCGCGAGTTGACACTTACTAAGCGTCCTTGGACGGTTTTTCCAACTTGAGCGTTTGAAGAATCGTGAAGCAAGCAGTGTCAAGGCTGTCGCACGTAACCAGACGCGCCCCGCAACTTCGCCCGAACTTGTTACAACCAAACATTACCACGGGCGCGATTTCCACGGAACGTCACTCCAGAGTACAATTGTAGACACAACGTAACCTCAGAAACACCGCTACTTCAAACGTGCAGCGACCTTTACGGTGTGGTTTTTCTTTTTTTCCTTCTATCTTTAGTTATCTGTGCAACCAATCTCGAAGTTATTGGCGTCGGAACCTTCCACAAAAACTGGTTTCCGGGCGCACAAACAGTGTCCCCCCCCCCCCCTCCTTTTTTTTTTTTTTTTCGCCCTCTTCCAAAACCGTCTGCTTGGAAAAAAACAAGGCGCAGACGTTCTTCTGACGACCGCCTTTGAATGATTCACGTACGGTATCTGGGTCCGCTGATACCGGTTTAGGCTTGCTGGTAATCAGTACGGCTCTCTTCGGTCGGCCCACACTACAGCAGGCCCTCCCAATTTGCCTCTTTTCAACGGCCCAGAGTAATGGGTCCGATGGCCATCTTTAGGCGGCGAGCTCTTTCTTCTGTCCTGCGGGCGATACAGTGACCCCGTGGTCAAGTGACGAGGTTGTTTCGCATGCGGCGTCGATAGCATGCTCGATGTGTGCACTAGGTGTTCTTTGAATGGCGTCTCTTGGGAGACAGCGATGGTTTCAAGCCGGTCATTCAGAAAAAGACCACGTATGTTTTTGTCGGTACCGGTAATGCTGTGTCATCGCTGATCCAAAAGCAACACCGACCATTGGTTCTTCATTCATATATCGCGTTCATTCGAGTCCTCTGATTGGGTTGGTGAAAAGTATGACACTTCAAGCAATTGCTCAAAGCCCCCCAAAAACAAACAAACCGGGAATTAAATGTAACGATAGCCACTTTTTTTTTTTCGATTACCTTAGTTTTAATATCTGCATTATTTCGCAAGGCCCGCGTGTCTGTGCGATAGGAGGAAAAATGAGGATACGTGGTTGCACCCCCCAAATGTGATGCCAGGGACCACCGATGGTGTATTGCCTAACAGCCCAACCGCTAGCGCCACGTTCTCACGGAGTTTGAGCTTTCTCTGTTACATCGTTTATTCACTCGAGCGTAAAATAATGAGAAGGAAACACGGTTTTCTTTTCTGTGAAACTCCCTGTACTCGTCTTTATGATGTTTCTGGTGTCACTGTACTTCAGCAGACTACTGTTCGTCTTTTTTCATCACCACCAGTTGCGCGAGGCAGTCTTGACTGATTGGCCATCAACGACACGGCGTCCATATATTCCGAAGGGTAAGGCCATAAAGCCGTTCGGCGGATATCGTAAGAGGTTAACGAGTAGCAATCTCGAGGCCCCTCCAGTAACGAGATCCTCCAGATCAGTGAGCATCCGTCTTTCCGTGAGAGCGCATTGGCCTTGGCGCCACGCTTTCCGACCGTCAAGGGCGTTAGCGCATATTCCGCGGGCTAGCGCGTGTCTGCCTTTTCTTTTTCTCGGGAAATGGAAGAATATGTCGTTGACGGCAACAGAATCTCCGGAATTCGGAACGGCAATCTTCGCATTTGACAACAAGTTCACTACCGGCGGCGGTCTATATACCGATCGCTTCCCGGAGTTTGGCTGCGCCTTCGGATAGCGCGAATGACTCCGCTTCCGGGAAACCGCGTATTCATGTTCAAAGCCTCTGGCGAGCGACCGAGACCTTGGCGACAACAAAGCTTCTGTACACCGACAAAGGTTAAATGGAGCTGTGCGTACGAACGGGAAGGATGGCTTCTGCTGTCTCCTCCTCCGCGGGGGATGAGGGAAGCAGCGTGATCACGTGACGAAGCATAAAATTAACGAAGTCGTGGCAAACAAGTCTCCCCGAATCGGTCAAGTGACAGTGTCCGACAGCTGTGTCCTCCGGCGGCGTGTTGTCACGTGCCTAATTCTTCGAGACCGCTAGCAGCTCACAAAGCGCCGTAACTTGGCATTGTTTCCAACTTAGCCTGAGTAACTGATTGATTTAATTTGCTCTTCTTGTCGATTCTTTAATCCGCATAGTCAAGCTAAACGGCGCTTTCCAGAGGCCTCTTTACTAATACTTATTAATAATGTATAATTATCTGCCGTCTAGTCATAAACTACCGTGACTTTGTCACCATAATTTCTACGGATATCTGAAATGTCGAGAGGCCTACCTCTTGCTCTACAAGATGGAGTCGTTGCTCACTCGTAAATTAAAGATGGCCGCCTCGACATCGCGCGCTTCAACTCGATTAACGGTCCAAATGAAGACGTGCCCGTCCCCTAGAAACAGCAGGGACCCCGTTAACGACCGCTGCACCCACTCTAATTACCCGGAAAACGCGGCGACGGATTACAAACTTCCGCCGGAAGTCCCAATCTCCTCGTTTCATTGGTGAGCGGAAGCGACGCCGCCTTCCTCGAAATATGTTTTCTCCTCTGGACTCCCTGGTCCTATGCCCAAGATTGCGAGCAGCGCGTGCAGGCGGCTGCGCTGTTCCCACGGTATATTCGCCTCCTTTTCTCTATTTCACGTTTCGGCCGCTGGGCCGCGCCAGATTTCGATGCTTGCTTGGATAGGCGATAGCTCCCCACTTCTCTCCTTCCTATATTTCCCGCTGGGTAGCGTAGCGTCCTCTGGAGCTGCCGTCCTCTGCTACCGTCCGATCCAAAGGGCTCAGCCGTATTCATCCATCCATCCATTCATCCTGCGCGTAGCTCCCTTTTTTTTTTTTTTTTTATTCGAGCGAGTTCATTCACATGGTGTCATCCACAAGTCAACATATATGGCGTGCTGGTTCGCACGAACCATCAGTCCCACACTGTCCTGTGGATGTTTGTACGACATTCACGGGACGTCATGAGACTTACGGCGTCGTTGGGCCACCATAGTCACCAATACTTACCCCTTCAGGCACCGCCACAAAACACGTCACTCGCGCACGTTCGGTTCAGGCATTCTGCTCGTACGATAGAATGCTGTATGCGCGTGTCCACGTAATCTAAAAACGTGCGTTATATGATCGATGTGTGTTCCCGGTATCATTTCAGACGCTATAAGTGTCCATACGATGCACAAAGTGACAGTGGGGTCTAGCGAACCTTGAAATTTCGTCTTAATAGAAAGTTTTAGTAGATCGTTCTGATACCTCCGTTAACGATACCCGATACGATGCATGCGCAAAGGCTGCGACGGAGTAGCGTTATCGGAGTCATGGGAACGATCTACTAAAACTCACTAATGTGTTTGCTGCAGCGGGATAATTTCGCCGCTCAAACGCAACCCCTTCCTTCTTTTTTTTTCTTTTTTTTTTTACGTGCATTACGCAATATAGTTTACAAAAACGAACGCCATCACACAACGCCTTGTCTTGTGTTGCCTCTCTCGGGTCCTCTCCTGCTGCTTTTAGGCTGCAACGGACTATGGAAATTCGTTTCCAGTTTCTCCTACCAGATTATGCTTCGACTGTGATCTGCATACTGACTGGGCAATGAAGTTTGGTTGGACAGTTGGCGCCATCTTATGCGGAATTCTCGAAACTCTTGAGACGGCTAGCGGCCGCATTCATTGAACCCGAGCACGAACGCTCGAGTGTCTTACCGAAACCCTGACGCGGCGTTCGTAATCCAATCGTTCAGCAGGGTTGCCAGGTAGTTAATAGCGCAAACGGCCAAATGCCAGGCGGTGTAGCCCGAAAGTAGCCAAATGCAAGAGATTTGTGTCGCCCAAAAGTAGCCATATTCTGCAGAGCCCAAAATATCGTGCGCTGCAATATGCGAGCTCTATTCGAAGGCCCTGCGTCTGCATATCTGGGGTTTAGGAGCAGCTTCCAAGATCTACGACATCTTGAAATGTATTGAACGTTTTATTTCAAACACAAAAATTTTCCACACGCGTTTTTACAGTCGCATAGTTTTGAAGCACTCGCTCGCGCTTGGCTTACTCGCCTCATACACGATTTATGTGTTAAAACGGGCAAAAACTTCTTCAGTAGGGTTGATGTCCATACAGCACTCGTTCTTCCCAATGAAAGCAAACTTTACATAGAGTACATTTTGAAGAGTTGGTAGGGACGTGTTCTTCCTTAGGCCTGACTTTGTGAGGGACAGATGACTGAATACTCTCTCCATGGCAACAATCGACATGGGCAGTGCTGGGAGTGCGATGACAAGCTCGGATAGCAACAAAAACAGAGTTGCTCTTTGATCTTGGCCTTTTTCGGAATATTCATTGTCCCAACTCTGTTGATATTTGTTATGGCTTATTGTGCTTTAAGAAAATTCCACCTTTCGCGGAAAAGCCTCCTTTGTTGTATCCGGTACAGCATGCGTTATCGGGCGACATCAAATTCTGCAGGATGTTTTGAGTTGCCGTCAGTATCATTTTTCCTCGGATGAGGTGCCTCCTGTAGGAGGATGGTGGGAAACTCGAAA